GTCACGCGATTATACAATGTTTTATTATAGTACGTTTTAGGCATTGGGTACATGTGCAAACATATATATACCAGAAAATCAACTCGCATTTTAAACCATACATAGTTCATTAGCCAAGATCGATGCCATAGATATAAATTTACGGCATATAAAATTAATTATCTGTAGAAAGTTTAAAACACACAACAGATAATTAATTTTCTTGACAGGTAAAAAGCGAATAAACATTCTTTAATTGATTTTGACAGTTCCTCAGTCTGACAGTTCGATAGTCAAAGTCAATTCCTTCAAAATGTCTGCAACAGGCAACACCGAGCTCGATGACGATATTCTTCTTACTAACGTCGTAGTTATAGAGTCTGAATTAAGATGACAGAAAAAGTCATGTCAATTAAGAGCTACAACCATTTATGAGGAACGCAGGTAGCTGCCTATAAAACTTAGCGGAACCCCTCTTTATATTAGGGTTCCATTAACTGTAGCGTCACCAAATCTTTGACGGTTATCATATGATATTATATGTATTTAAAATATCTTCTTGCATAATTCGCGTCGTTATTTTACGCGATTGATGTGGACCAAATAATTTACCAACCATATAATAATGGACCAAACTCTTAGAGCTGATCATAGCTCATATACAGGTATACTGTCTGTAGTTTACACGAGTAGTACACGTTTAAATAAATCATTTTAACTGTTTCAAACGCAACATATTTAAGTTAAACTTATTTATAATTGCTCCCACGACTGCTGCAGAGCATCGGAATCATTAGACTGTATTTAAAATAATTTGTAGATAAGTTTAACTAATATATGTCGAGTTTTAGCTGTTAAAGTGTTTTATTTAAATGTTTAACATAACGTACGTATTATTCAAAGATGTGTATGATATGTATGTGTTAATTACTTATTTAAAATACCTATTGATGACTTAGTGACCGTTTTCTAAGGAATAATTTAATGACTTGCTGAATATACGGAACCCTCGCCCAAATGGTGCTAAGTCAGTTTTTATTGAGCAAAATAAAAGTCGTCATTAGAGGTATCGAACCCACTCACCATGGCGACTCACTTAGCCATAATTACGATGATCGTTAAACCTTTTATTGTTATTAGTCGATAGTCCTTTCATTGCTGTTAATGTAAGGATTTATTTATACATAGGTACCTATTTATTAAATTTTCTCATTCATGTTAAAGAAGTATTAAATTCGATTCCCGTCTGTTAAGACTATTTTTATTTTATCACTGACTGAATGACTGCTTGGAAGATTTAAAATTAAATTATATATTGTAATAATGGGTTGTAATAAAAAATCACATTTCGTTATTGTCTAGGTCAGAGTTCCCTAAACTTTTTTGTGTCGTAGACCCCTTGCCATGTTTTTCTATAATTTTTTTACTGTAGTGAAGTTTAGTGTTAAAACTTAAAGTAAAAAGGTTAATTTATACATTTATTATTTGAATTTAAATTAAATACTTTTATAAATAATGTATATGTTTTGATTGTATCAGTGTAAGTGATCCACTATCGTGGACCCCCAATTTTTTTTTCGCTGAAGTAGACCCCTTGGGCGTTATCATAGACTCCTAGGGGTCGCTATAGACCACTTTGGGAATCACTGGTCTAGATCTTACACGTATAACAAAATCACCGCTTTAACAACGTGAGGTACATATATAATTGAGATATAAACTTACCGTTTAAAAAAGCTTGTTTTGTATAAAAAATTACCAGCAGACAAACAGTTTTGTGCCCTATGAAGTATTCAACTTAATTTAAATCACCTTAAAAACAGCCTCGATATATAAGTAGTCCGAGCAACACAAAAGTTGAAACCAGTATGTTTCCGAGATTAGCGCGTTTAATTTTAATGAATAATTTGTTACTTGAAATATTTTTAATGAGTGGAATAATGAATTTACTATACGGGGCCAGTTTCCAGATATAAGCATGACAGGGCAGGAAAATAATAAATAAAACCCATCTAAACAGACACAATTGACGGATTCTTTTGAATTCAAATAAAACACTTTTAATTGTTTAAATCGCGAATTGTATTAAGTACTAAACTTATTTACAAATCATTTTAACTACGGCCCGACGTTCTTCGACTCGTTGATTATCAATTACGTATTGTCCTAGTACTCTCTTCTCTTTTAAATAAGAATATAGATTAATGTGTAATACGACGCAATAAAATGTTTTACGATGATTGCGGGTTCGCCGCTGTTGACGTTCTCATGGGGGTTGATAGATGGGAACGAAAGAGACGTCATTTATATTTTTGTCTTCAAAGGTAAGAGATAATATCAATGTTACTGCATGGTGACGTTGTAAATCTTTACAAAGCTTTCTCTCTTGTTTGACGTGCTTGTTGTGTAATAGTAGCAATACAAATAATCAAAAAGACGTTTTCGATTGCTCTAGGTATATGGAAAACAAAACGTTGCTAATATGGGATATTGCAAAGATTAATAAAACATACTTTTTAAACATTTGACATTGACAGCCTCGTTGGTGTAATGGTAATGTATGGCTAATAACCAATGGGTCTAACATTTTTCTAATCGATTTATAATTTTTATGAAACAATTTGGATGTTGAATGGGGGGGGGGGGGGAATATCGCAATTCGCAATTACGTCCAATTCACAATAAATTGTACAGATGAAAAAGGCGTCAAGTTTAATCGTGTTTCGGTTTTAGTCTGTGGATTTCCGAATATCCAAAGACAAAAATTAGTCGACAGCGGATATTGTATAGATGTTATGTGGCTGGGTTATTTCACATTGCATGTAGTGAATCTCGTGTTTATCTGTCCTCTATCTTAAAGTAATACATTTAAACCGACGACAGCTCTTGTTAAAAAATGTGTTTACTTAAAAGCACTGAATTAGATGGTAGATTTTCATATTTCCTTAGCTTCGTATAATATAACAATACAGTAATTACATTAATGCAAGCGGAAATCTAAAAACAAACAAACTCACACAATAGAGGACCAATTAAACTCCCTAAATCATAAATCAGCCCCAATTCCACTCGTTTAAAGTTTGGGCAATCACAAAGTAAAGTTAGCACGGAAAATTGAAAAGAACTAACCGAGAAATAAAGGTGATTTTGCAATGTACGTATTTCTTGTTTGAATAATCATTTGATTCTGGCAAGAGACAAAAGAATTAATAGAGTTGTCTAAAGTCGATGTCATTTCTTACGGAGTAAAATGGTCTTGTTAAATAAATTAATAGGTACGTATATTTTTTAAAATTATATATTCATATTTTAAAACTCGTATTGTATATTTTTTATTTATGTATTTGTATATATTATTTAAAAGTGTAAATTCTCTCCCTCACTTATGGCGGACACATGTTTCAACCCATTAATTTACATTACTTACTAATACTTAAGAAGGATATCTACCGATTTTAATACTCTTTCTCTACTACTACTCATAATACTTTATTGAAGAAGTAAAGTTACAGCCAAAGTTTGTTTAATGTGGCTTACATTAAACATTAAGATAGAGATAGACAGACAAGTATGGGGGGGGGGGGGGTCACTTGATATAATGTGAAATACCTCAGCCAGTCATATAGCATCTAAACAAGATGTACTGCCAATCTTTGGAAATCCGCAACCCAAACGCGATTAAAACTTTTTCGTCTGTGGTCGATGGTGCATGACCGCGATGGTGTTTCGATATTTCTACCATCCCATTTAATATCCAGATTTCCAGACACAGCCCAACATGTTCAGAAAAATAATAAATTGTTGGACCCAGTGAGGATCGAACGCAGGACCCGTAGATTACTTATTAGCCACGCTACCGTTACACCAACAAGCCGACTTTAAAAATATATTACATTTACGCATCCCTATACAAAATTTGCTTCAAAAAGCCTGACTCCTCAATTAATTAGAGACAATTAGCGGGGTTCCGTGACAAAAGGTAGAAAAACTCCCGCCATTAATTACGACAGGGTGGAGGATGATACACCCCTTTTATTTTTCAAGTTTTCGTTTGAATAGCACGCCTCAGTTTGAAAAGATTAGACAAGAGTTCATAATTCCGCTTTAGAAGTTCTTTAATTGATACACACTTCCTTGTTATTTGAAACAAACAAATCTACGAAGACGTTATTTACGGCGGTGCTTTACTTATTTTAGAAGAATATTGACTAATAGCAAAAACAGTTTTCATAATTACATTATTATTTTTTTATGATAGAAGAGAACGGGAGAAGCACGAGCCTCACTTGATGGTAGGTAAAATATCCCAGTCATTATATGGCTGAACAAATTACTTAATGGCGGTCGACCTATATTGGCTTAGAATTTTCCGGAAAATTTCAAAGTGAAACTGAAATTTTGTAGATTTTCCAAAAGTGGGCGGTGGTTTGTGACCGAGATGGAATTTCAATATTCCCACATACATATCCGGAATCCCAACGTGTTTCAGAACAATTATACATAAAGGAGAATATAGAAAAATGTTAGACCTGGTGGGGATAAAAACCAAGACCCGTTGTTTAATAGACATACATTGCTACCATTACACCACACAGCTCATCGACCACGACGACCAACGAGAATTTAAATACAGATAGGCAGGTTATTTCGTTTGTGTGCATATTTTTCTATCAACGAATACCATTAAAACGTCACTGCTTAATATGATAAAGCGCAAATACGTGAACTAATCAGGTAGCTCTCAATGATCCACTCGTTTCATTACAACCACTTCACCACCTAATGAACTAATCCCCAGCAAAAGCGTTACACGCGACGCGGAAAAGCCACAGCGAAAAACCTTCACGGTATTATGCCTCGTATCATTCAGGAAAAATGCACATTATCGCATGACCACGTTTATTAAAAACCAACACCACTAAATTATCGCATTGGGCCAGATTAACTCCATTATACTAGCTATCAATTAATACTATCTATGCGATAAGTCATTTCGGCAGTACACCGCATGTACACTTAAAATGTGCGCGTGTCGACAAAAGAAGGCGTCTTTTTTTATAAAAGACATCCTGTGCGAGGGGAAAGACGGAGTAGTCGAAAATGGGAGAGCGAAAGAAGAGTTGCAGACGAGGTACAGCGAGTTATCGGTGGTCCAGAGAGAATTGGAAGCGACGAAATTAGATGTAAATATAGAACAAAGGCGGAATACCTATCCTATATACCCGACACCTATAAAGCCGAGCTACCCCTGGTCGTATAAGACGAAGGGCTTTGAGCAGAGGCCGTTATACAGCGAGCCGATTCTGAATTCAGAAATGCTACGCAGTCAATTGTCGATGAGTAGGTTCGGTGCGCCCGCGCCGTTCAGCTTACGCCCGCCCTACAGTTTTGATAGAGGTAAAAAAAATCTATCCTAATTATAACTTAATTGGTTACGTTTTACATTGTAATGACGTCTCTAAAATTTTAATTATTTATTATAATATCATTTTTTTATAAATCGCAAAATAACAATTTTAAACCCGTTTCATAAATTACAACTTTTAAATATTTTATTTACATTTTTGAAACGGAACGGAACGGAATACTTATTCCTTTTACGGTATTAATCGTACCATCTAATTGTTATCAAACTAACGAAAATACTGCTTTTATAATGCTAACATAAAATTCATATAATCGGGAATTTTTAAATTTTTTCGTCAGTAATTGTTTTTCCTTAGACAAGTAGTTTTCTTATTTGGACAAACATAACTGAATTAATCGAAAACTATATTTTTCCGACAGAAAATTGAATATCAAATACATTATTTCTCAAAAAGATTTATTTTGTTGTTGAAAATTAATTTAAAGTAAAAAAAGCTCTTGCGAGTTTTCCAAGTGGAATAAAATAAGTAAAATATATGCCAGGAATGTGTACACCAAATTTTTTGCAAAGATATGACGCAACGATGTTAACTTTTGTTTTTTAGGAAGTTCATAGTTCAAGTATTCCTAGCTTATTTAGTGGTAAATAAAGCTTAAATCTAATCATTAATTTACTACTAAACGGTTCAAAATTGGAACTATTAACAAAGGCGATAGATAGAGCTATATTTAAAACAAGATACCGCGAATAACCCCACACTCACAGAAAATGTAGATAGAAATGTAATCTTTATCACTATCGAAGCCAGTGCAAATAAAAAATAACGTTGCCGAAATTATCAACGACTTGAAAGCTGATAATGTAATTAATAATAGCCCTGTGTACCCGAAAACAGATAATTATTGATTTAATATTTTTCAATTTTGGATTTATTTATGTTATTAATCTTGATTTGGTAGAGAATGAAAAATGTTTTTTAATGCATACATAGTACTATGTATAACCAAATGTTTTAATGACACGTTCCAGTACCTACACACACACTCCTATACAGACTAAAATTCTTAACAAATTTAAGAAACAATGATAGAGATGATATTTTTTCTTTCAGTGTTTTAGATTCACGCAAGAAATAATTTTGCTTAAGCGTATATACAATAATCTACATCATATGCGAGTATGTACAAATTCACAAATATAATTGGTTACAAATACTCCTCTGCGCTATTCTAAATAGAAACATTCCTAACAATTCAATAATACACTTATTATGCATGGATACAATTTTATCTCCTATTTCATAAGACAATACTTAAACTCCGAGATATAAGACAATTTGTACAGACACAATAAAATCGCTTATAAATCATATAATTTGAATGTAGATAATCCCAACATTGTCGATAAAATTTATCAAATTATTTTCTGTGTCTTGTTCCAATTGTTGTTCTATCTGGTCTGATTGATTATACCTAACTTGATAACTTTAATCGTTGGTGGTTTATTACTTTATAATCGTCTGTTTCTTTATTGTTAGACATTTTTATCGAAACCAGATTTACACGTTGCATTTTATAGTAACATTTTTGTAGAAACTCGCTTATTACATACCATAACATTATCACACTCTAATCTTCTCTCCTACACACACACACTCAAATACCAATTAACACGCACACCTTAACATACACAAATACTGCATCGCGAAGATCCATAGTCTTATGAGGGGGTTTCGCAAAAATTTTACAATCTTACACGGAATCGTTATACATGTATCCGACTTAAAATAAGAAGATTGTGTGATTTTTTATATTGTTGTATTGTAACATAATGCCTGTAACAATTATTTTCGTCGAAAAATTTGCATTATCGCTCAATTAACAGTCTCGAATTCATATGTTTACTACGAAATTGTTCAAAATATGTGTTTATTAACAAGATTAATATGTACTAAAATAAACATCTAAAATCTTGTTCTGTAATCTATATCGATTATTTAGATAACACTAATTAATGGGTTTATCGAAGATAATCTTGAAAATAATTTGATTAGCTGCCTGCTATCGTGGTTATATCAAGAAATTAAGTGAATTTTGATAAGTCCAACACTCATTAGATAGCTCATTGTCATCGTATTTAACCAACTTTTTATTTGGTAACCAACGTAAGAAAATAATATCTTTTCCAAAAGATGTACAGCTACAAAATCAGTTCAAAAGCAACATTATATACCTATCACAATAGAGGAAACGTGATGATATTATTCGTGTGTGATTTTCAATTCGTGTGGATGGATGCGGTTGTGTGTGTGTTTAGGTGTAAGTGAGTGTGAAAACGTGTGACGGTTTAGCTGATATTCTTCAAGCTCATTTTAGCATACAGCATTTAAGTATTAACTAACTGAAATGTTAACTCTCGAGTCATATACATAATACATATATTTTAGTGAAGCATACATTATTTGTTGTGAAGATAAACATATACCCAAGCATACTCAGTTACACAGAAGCTATGTCAGCCGAAATTATTATATGTATAATATTAAAAACAAAAATTATGTTTTTCATATTATGACAGACACCCGTATCTATCCGCAAACACATACAAAAGAGAGAGAACGTTCAACCATCCCATTTTTATAAAACTTGAACGAGATTTTAAAAGTAAATATTAAATATTAAAAGTAAAGTGTCCAATGAATTACTGTCAAAGTATTAAGATACTACCTACTGTCATATAAAATTCAAGATATCTTAAATGTGGGCATTTATATGATTAAAGATTGTAATTAGTACATATCATAAAGAATAAAGATAAATCAAACTTATCTCTACTTACAAGAATAGGTTAGGTATACCGTATCAATAAAATTTATTTTTATTATCCAATAGAAATTAAATAATAATTAATTTACAATTTAAGAGGTAGGTACTTTATTTTCACCGTTGTCACCGTTGTTTTATTAACTTTCTAATGTGGTGTGTAAGTAAACGCACTACACCTATTTACACATACAATTATCTATTTATTAGAGATGCGCCGAGTAATGAGGCTCAAAAACAGTATCAAAAAACCCGCCGAGTACGCAGAGTACCGATTATTCGGCCCATCTCTACTATCTACACACTTGTATTTATTAACATTACGCATAACTGATTGTAATTTTAGGCGAAAAAATAAATTTGCTTGATAATAACGAGCATTTTTGAAAATTTCTAGTGTCCGCGCCCTGCGTGCTTACACGTTGTACTATATTATGTTAAGTAAACTAACCTGTGTGATAAAGACAAAGCGCGCTTTTAGTAAAGCTTTATTTGAAATTGGTTTGTAATGCAACTTATCTTTTATTATTCTCAGTGCCATGCTTCAGCCCATGGTGGGGAATGGCAGGTAGACGGAAAGGGGGGCAAGTAAGGTTCAGCGCAGCACAAACGGGAGCGCTAGAACGAAGGTTCAACGCCAACAAGTACCTAAGCCCTGACGAGAGAAGGGCTCTCGCTTCTTCTTTAAGACTGAGTGATCGACAGGTATATAACTTATATTCTTACATATAGTAAGTGTAGTAGTCTAACACAGTTGCGGGTGTGTGTGTCTGACACACAACACACACACCTTTAACTGTGTCAGACAACACGCTACTAAACTTTATGATATCAATAAAAAAAATTTGAACAAAGATTTAGAACAATACATATTTAGTTGTAATATACATTTCCCTGTTTTTCATATAAGGTGGAGTATTATTATTTAATCCTTATACAATATATTAAACATAAATAGATCATAAGAGGCACATTGGTAAACGATCCTATAAAATACCTAATCTATGACGACTTGGCCTTCGTTGTAGATTAAGCTCTATAGTTCCGTTAAAAGACCCACATACAGTCCAACAAAACACTAAAGACGTCATAGTTATGCTAAGAACTATTTCAGGTGAAAACATGGTTCCAAAACCGTCGTGCAAAATGGCGACGAACCACATTAGAATGCGCAGACCTCGGCAGTTCATCGAGTGTGCAAGAAGACTCTGATGATGACGTGCTAATATCAGACCCCTGACATTGGCTTTCTTTTGTTTTCAAATTAATTAATTGTTATTTAGCTAGGAATATTAATATTTTTTTCAATTTTATTACGCTTACTTTACTTTATAAGATAGATTTAAGCTAATTTAAGCTTTAGAAATGAGCTGTTGTTAGCATTACATCATCAAGATACTAAACGTGTCAAGTTAAAAAATCCTATCACAAATTGTATAGAATTTAATTAATATGTTCATATGGCGTGATAGTGTTCAAATAGTCAATAACTTAACTATATTTACGGTTTTCGGCATATGTATACTTAGTTTTCAAATAAATACGCCTGCCAAAAAAAAGTTGTTGTCGTCCAAAATCGTAATTGTGCCTTTTCTGATGTGAGGTATTATTTATTTGTAAGTTGATTCAATTTAATTGAAAAAGGATTCAATGTTTCTTCTTCTTTTTCTCCTTTTATGTACATATATATGTCATATAATACCTATAAATGTTATCCAAATCTGGTTTTTGTCAAGATAATGCTGTTTAACGAATATAATATCATAATTGTTGTAATAATCAACCATGTGGAAACGACTGGTTTAATGGTATAGATTTATTGTGCTCTGCGTGATAAAATTGTAAAGTAATAATCAAATTAACAATTAGATAATCGAAACTTATCAGATATGTAATTCGAAAATATCTCAAAGACGTCATTGAAATTTTATCTCGAGATTAACATCCGATTTCGAAGGATGTGGATTAGCTTGTAAAAGGTGGAGTGATGTACATCTGCTCGTTTTTATTGGTCACTGTAAAACATTTCTTTCCAATAAACATGATTAGTAATTGTTTTAAGTAATATTATGACTAACTTTGCTGTTATTTCATTATCTATGGTTTTTTAAATTATCATGAAAAAAACGGCATGCTGCGGCATGTAGGAAATATGTAACTAAACTGTGAACGGATATGCTTCCCATAAATAAATAAAAAAGGTTTTGTATAAATAAAAAGAGATTATAGAAATCATTTTATTGGCAAAATAATTTAAATTACACATGCCTCTTTTCTCCTATTAATATTTATAAAACTACCTCCATATAAACATTATCTAGCCACCACATTTTATTATATTCTATCTATTTACAATAATATTTATATAAGGTAGATATTTTTAGTACCTCAATGTAAGTTAATTAAACTCTTCCCTTTACAAGTATAATACGTGAAAAATAAAAACAAACAAATAAATTTTTATTTAACTGTTCTGTAAAATTAACAAATATAGATTCAACACAACAATTTATACGAAAAATATAGATTGTTATAGTAAGTTTATATTCACACCTATAGTAACATCCAATCCAACATTTCTTGTAGCAAAGTGAACTTGAAATAATATATAATGTTTAATTAAGCGACAGGAGCTAATAGTATTCATAGAATAAATATCTGAAACCAATAGAAATCAGTTTGCCCCATGCTACAGGGAAAAATAGGATATCACACAAACAGATAATAATAAAAAAGAAAGTTAATAACATGTTTTACTTATAAATTTACAAAACTTTATATAAAAGGAAATTATTTTATATTCATAAACATAAGCAAATAATATAAAACAGTAATACAAGTAATTTGTAGAAGTTTATAATAAGTTCATCCTGGTACTGATATCTCTTATATTTAATAAGAGATACTTTATCTCCTCAACCCGAATTTTATACTCATTCAGCTTTCTTGTAAGCCCCACGAGAACGCCAAGCTGTAAGCAGGTTGTAGGAAAAGTACAGTTGAAAAAAGTGGACCTGGGATGCCAGCAGAACAAATGCGTACCATAGCAATCCATAGGGGTAGCCCTGGAAATTTAAATAATTTATGTTATGGCCTTTATAATCTGTACTGTCATTATTTTGTAATTGGTACAAAGATCCCAGTAACTGAGACTTAGATGTAAAAACAGATATTTTAGTTACTAACTGGACACACAAATTAAGACAAGACATTTTTGGGAAAAGTCAATAAGAATAGCCATCCCATGATGAACATACGAACCTGCCACGTCATTATTTCCTCTTCCTCATCATCCTCAGCCGAGAGATAAACCCACACATCACCACAGTAATGCAGCACACAGTAAAGTAATGGCAAAAGGCCAAGACCTATAATCCCATACATATATTTACGAAGATACTTGATGTTGTTCCTCTTGATTGCTGATAGCCCCAGGAATGAAAGGGGCACAGACATACACCATATATATTCCCACCATAAGGGCTAGAAATGTTTAAAAAAAAGATTAATAAGGAAAATATAATGTAATTGAGTCCTATTTTTTAATGCGCTAGCTTTTAAGTAAATAAAATGGAATAATTTTGAGATTTGATTTTTTATTATCTCCTTAAATATTTATTTTACTTATAAAATATCAGAAGCTTATTACTCCTTAAATTTAAATTCAGTCTAAGTTCAAATAAAGCTTTAGAAATAGATTACAAAGATACCTGTGGAATTTGTAACTCCTCAATTTCTAGTATAAAAATGTCTAATTTATCAAGAATATCTGCTGACAGTTTTGCCAACATGGCCAGAAATAAGACATGATGAAAGAATACACAGTATTTTAAGCGGGATTTGTTCAGTGCACTGGAAATAAACAATCATTTAATTAACAATAAACACTTGTTACGTTGCTCTGTTACGAAAAGAAATTTAAACGAGTGGCGCGAAACCGTTCTAGACCCACAGCTTTCGTCTAAAAATAATTTGACGGAACTCGACGAAATAATGTCGTGTGTCAATTTAACCACGCTCGTTAGCTGAGTCGTTAACATAATTATCCTAATACTCACCTTATTTGATATTGGGCCGCTATTTTCTCCCTGTGCTGAAAATCAGCACCGTTTGTGCCTGTTACCATAACTCCTCCTCTTGAAGCCATTTTTATATTTTAACTTGCGCCTATGATAACTATACACTATTTGTGTAATCTCCACACGCAGAAACAATTAGTTTCATTCAAGTTTTTCGGAGTTTGCTTACAGAATTTAGTCAAGATCGAACCATTATTTCACATATGCCAAAATAAACCAGCGATGACGTATCTGGTGTTGGCAAATGCCAACTTGACATTCCAAAAATGCCAACGGAACTGTCAAGGTTGGTTCAATCGGATAATCGTTACAGATATAATTTTATAAAACTAAACCTAACTTCCTTAGAAAATACTGAAACAAATTAATACTCAAACAAGGAGGGTAAGGTGGAGTCAGTTTTTCTTTCATTTTTGGGATTTGACTTAAATGCAGAACAAATTACTTTATATAAATTTCATTTTTCGTTTTTTATAGATATAGTTATATATATCAGTAATTGTTGCTCCTTTAAATGTTGTTTAAGAAAAAGTGGATTGGAGAAAGTTCTACAGCTAATCCATATAGTAGTTAATACAGTAGTTAGTAAATATTCTTTGACCTGTAGAATATGTATAAAAATATTATTTAGTTTACATATTCACTAATATAACTATAGAGCAAAACATTTTAAGAAAAGATTAATTTTGTAAATATCCTCAAGGCGTGAAAAAAATTGCATTCGTTAAAGCAGCGTGATGAATGCAAATTAATTGATTTTACCCCCAATGTTACGAACAAGACTGTTCATTAGAAATAACAAAAAAATACATATTGCTAAATTAAGCCTTATTTTAATCTGTTAAGTGGTTTAGGATATTGTATATTTTATAAATAACTTAAAATAAATATACACAATATGTAATATAATAAAACATTTTTCCTATCCTACCGTAGGTGTTTCGGTTATTAACTTTTAATAGGTAGTTTGGTAATGTAAGAATTTGTAATTAATATCTATTTATCGTAGTGGATATGATACGAAATTGTTAATGCCTTATACTACATAATATGTTATCAATAGATGGAAGTATTAAAGCATAGATAATCATAAATCAGGGTTTATAGGAAGTTTTGGTCCAGAGTAGCATTGTTCATTAGCGGTGCAGCAAAACGCATAATGTAAAATTACAACGATAAGATCTTATCGGGGCATTGTTTATAAACATGATTATGAATGGAAAATTATTTTTTTTTTCTTTTGGTAAACGCTTATAAAAGCGCTTGCATTCGAGGAGAAATTTATTGCCCTTTGGTTTTACTTTGAGTCGGACGAAATGAGGACATTTTTGTTGATTACCATCTTTGCTTTTGTGGCTGTGCAGGTAGTATTTTTTTTAATTAAGAAAAAACAAATATTTTTTTCGTGAACCTTAATTTAATGTCAAGTTTAAATAATTAAATTAGCATAATACCTATTGCACGTCTGCCCCAAGTACTTTTAACTAAAGACGAATGCTCATTATTCATAGTATGACAGGCTATAAATTAACATAAAGATATAGTTTTTCCGTGTCGAAATAATCATTGAATTTCGCATCTTATTTTAATGTATAAATATCTACTGCGTTATTTATATTTTTGTTTCAATTTAGTTGTGCACATGCTCCCACAAGAAGACCACCGCCGATGCCCCAGCAACTGCTGAGGCCAAAGCAGCCTCGGAAGGTGCTGAACCACGAGCATCAGGAGCTAATGAGGGTCCACAGGCTGCCGAGGTAATATTAACGAAGACATTTTAAATATTGAACATGAAGAAAATTTGATACATACTCTTTCTTTACACAGTTTTCTACTGTACTACATAACCGAGAAAGAAGGAACGTTTATAGCTTCTTGGTTTTAGAACTAGCCGAATTTTATTGTGGTTTTTACCTAAAATTAATTATTCAGCAATTTTAAGTAGTTACAGAGACACCAAATTGATTAAAAAAACTTTCATTAAAAATCGAAACAAGTTTGAGAATAGGTAAGGTAGGAACCGAAACGGTCATCTTCCAAATTTTTGTCTCTTTGTTACATAAATCATTACCTTTATGTTTATTTCTAAAGATACGTGACGAATAATAATTATATTTTTAGGGCAAATCACCGGACACCACTCCCCCACCTCCACCTCCTCGCTCATAACGATGGAACGGACTAAAATGTAATGAAATTGTAATCTAATAAATAAAATAAAGCATTTTAAAAATAAATAATCTTTCTACTTTACCTGGGCTGATAATGGAAAGGAGGTTTTCTGAAATATTGGCATTCTATCATTCGTTATAAGTACAATATTAATCATGAAAGTTTATTGGGTATAAAAGTCAATTAGCGGTAAAGAATAGAATATCCCTAACACTTCCTCTCGGTGGAAGTTCAAGAGATCCGAGAGTGACTCCAGCTGCGCTGCTTGCGCGGACTCTCGACCCACTTGACCCTGAAATTCCTGATCCCTGGATGTACAGCGTCACCTGAAAATGATCTGACGTTGTTAACTTTATTTTATAATCATACTTTATAATTCGTTTACCCTTGTAATTGGCCGATAAAAAGCGTTCGATTTGAAAAAATATTTTTGTGTTGGAAGATTAAGGCTGCGACCAATAGGTGCGAAGAAACAGTGGGAAAAAGGGGGAAAATCATTTATCTGTGTCATGGGTAACAGCTAAGATTTATAAAGCTGAGGAGGTTTGCAATAACAAATTTTGATGCCCAAAATAACTTATCTAGGCGGACATGTCGCGGCCATAGCTAGTTAGTTTCCAGGGATACAGGAATATTTTGCTTATAAAATTAGTCTTCTATCACCATTAATAAAATAATATATGCTCGATTAATGAAATTATGTATTTTTAAATAATGAAATGAAATAAAGTCTCCCCGCGACCACGGCTGCTGCAAAACATCAGAAAAGTCGGGCCGTAGTTAAAGTAAATATTTTTATCTAATATATATCGCGGGTTATTTAAATAAAATAAAGACTTTAATACCTGCTGAGGCTCATGAGTACTTGGTTCGCCAGAGAGGGGCGCAGACCGGGGCTCTCTCACCGTCTCCTTGCGCCTCCGCTTGTTCGAACGCCTCGTATCGTGTCTCTTGCGATTTGAAGAAATAGTACCATCTGTGGACGCAATGACCTATCAAAATTTTCATAAGGTCTACTCTGCACATTTTACTTGTGAAATGCAATACCAACATGTAGGTTTCTTGTAGCCTTCTACCTTGAACTTTTTACCTATTCATTGTTTGAAAATATTTGTTGGTCAGTCTAAGCAATGTATGGTTAATAATAAATGGGTCATGGGCTAGATTCCCGCTGAGTCTAACATGTTTCTAATGAAATCATAATTTTCTAAGACATGTTGGACTTTGTCTGGAAATTTTGATATCAAAGGGGGGGGTAAAGAATTCAGTCCAGAGTCACGAATCACCGTCCACAGATGAGAGAGACGTTACGTCTAATTGCGTTTCGATTATATTTGTGAATTTCCGAATATCCAAAGACAAAAATAGGTCAACAGCAGCATCTTGTTGACATTCTAATGTTATTGGTTTAACTATTTCAGCCAGTTTCAGTATGGTTGGTTGGACTATTTCAGCCATTCCATCAACAAAGTCTTCATGTATACTTGGAAAAACGTGTCTACGTACGCAACCAACAACCAATAACATAAAAATATCCTCGAGTTAAAAAAATGATGCCCTGTGTTTGAACGTTCAGAGAAATCGAAAATTCTTTCGGTTTATGGCCATTACAATACCTTCATTGTTGTGTGGCGGGAGAGGCAAAGCGTGTGTCGGCTTTCTAGATATGGAGTTACGTCTGTTTTCGATGAGCCGCTCCAATCCTTCCAGTGCGGCTTGTTTATTCTGAAAAACACAATTTTAATTGCACTACTTACTAAATATTTATTACTTATAATATTAATCAAAATGGACAATGTTCTTTGACTTTAGTTATATTTTGTTACGAGTTAGTTGACGCTAGTTTTGAGAAATTTCACCAGAAATTATAAAAGATACATAAGATAGATTACAGTTATTTCTAGCATAAAAGAGACGCAGAAGACCAGCAAAACGCGGAATTTGTTTCGTGTTCCTGAAATTAATAATTTTTACTGATATGCCTTTACATTTTTTAAATAATAAAGCCATCAATAACTTAAAAAAACGGGCAACTACTGGTGGGGTAAGTGGCCATTTACAATTTTTTTATGTATTTATTTTTGTTTAATTTTTTTTTTAATAAATCCGTTTTTTAACAGTTCACAGTTAATTAGATGTTGGACCATCGGCTTACGTTACCATCTAGAACATATTCTAAAAAATGATATATTTAGAGCGCGGTAAATGGTAGGAACTGACTTAAGTGGCTATCTTCTGGTGCTTCTACCTTATTAGCAGTTTTAAAGTGAAGAATTATAATTAAAGCTGTTTAGAAAACAAGCTTGACGGTGCCTCATGATAATAATTACCCGAATTTCTTCCAAAAGCGGTTCAAAGGCGCTAAGATCGAATGTGTCCTTAACAGCCTCGTAGCTTTTAAACAATTTGCGATCGGATAAACGAACCGTACTTTCCAGTTCACGCACCTCTGAAATAATAGATAATAGATGTTACATGCTAAATACTCATTTGATATATAAGTATATATCTACTAATCTAATTAAAATATGTGGGTAGTTTTTACTTAATGTAAGAGAATGTATACTACAATAAATGAGTTAAGAATTCATTTTGTATTGACATACCAATATCTTTAAAAAAAACATTTTAACGGTTTAAAATGCTATATATTAGTTAACTATAAATAAGTCTAACTAATATATCGCCGTTAAAGTGTTTTATTTAAACGTGTACCACTCGCGTAAACTATAGACAATACCGATATCTCTCATTTTGGCAAGCTGCGCAGCAAGAAGTCCACGCTCGACGCGCAGAGCTTGACGTTGCACAGTCGCCCGCGCAGCAGCATCGCAAGCGCTCTTTGCTTCACCCGCTAACGCAGCTACTTCAGCTGCTTCTCTGGCCAAACGTCGCTCCAATTCTCTTTAAACAAAATACAACACGACGTGCCAATGTTTATAACTAGTTTTACAAAACATCATGCAAGAACATACTGTCTATAGCTTACGCGAGTAGTACACATTTAAATAAAACACTTTAAAGGTTTAAAACGCGGTATATTAGTTAAACTTATTTGAAAATGACTTTTAACGTCTCCCCGAAACGAAACGTCGGGCCGAAGTTAAAAATCATTTTCAAATAAGTTTAACTAATATATCGCGTTTTAAACCGTTAAAGTGTTTTATTTAAATCAAGCAAGAACGTCGTCGTAGGTAAGAACTTAAATTTATAAGGATGAAGAGGAGGTTTGCAAAAAAAAAATTGGATGAAAATAACTATTCTACGGGGACGAATTTTTCTGTTAATATACCAACTTGGGATATTCTCCTGTGACTTTAGCGTATGACTGTATGTTTCTTATGACCCCGACAAGATGCTGGAGCTGATTGCAGAACTCTGGAAGTTGTTCTGGTGTCAAGTACTGTCCGCCATATCTAAAACAATGAACCAAATAGTGTGTACCTACGAAAAACATTCTTTTGTTTAAAAATCGAAAATAAATTGAAAAAAATTTCGACACGGACAGGACTTGAACCGGTATCGTCAGCGTTCCGTGCTGTTGCTCTGCCAATTGAGCTACCGAGAGCACGGTACGCTGACGATGCCGGTTTTTAAATTGCATAGTGCCTTCATGTGCAATAACATGTAAAAACTAATTAAGTTTTCAAACATTCTTTTTTATACTTTATTCTCTAACACAGTTTTGCCTGCTTACAACTGCCTCAATGCATGTTGTAAAAACACAATAATATTAATAAAATTTTAAGAATCTTTAATCTTGGCGCCATGCACGCAAGAGCTGGTTGGTGGAGATATAACAGATTTTTCAAAGACCTCCAAAAAACGGAAGTAACTAATTGGTCTTGTTAAGTACTTCCGTTTTGTTGATGTTAAGTCTTACCAACAATTAAATGGTTTTTTACCTCAAGTCGAGGTTGGCAGCAAACTGCGCATCATCAAAGGCAGAATTGGAGGTAGAGGTGTGTGCGCTGCTGTTACTTTTCTCAGTGTCTTCCTCTTCTGTTCCGCTGCCACAGCATACTGTCTCACTCATGCTGAAATTTCATAATAAAACTGTTTTTATTATATTCGACAGAACAGCTATCGTATTACAGATGCTTATTTTCCTAATAAAAAAAAATACAGTTTAGTGTGAGTTAGGTTCATCTATGTTATACCACCCTACACTCTCAGTAAGCTATCATCTATCTTAGGTCACTCTTTTTAAAAGAGTTAACATACTATTTTACAACCTTTAATAGACAAATACGTTTAACTTAACAATTGCCATAGTTTATGTAATAATTTGGAAAAAAAATGGTGTAGATATCTGTGTGTTTATTTTGCGCTTCTATACACGGATATCAAGTTATCTAAACTTTTTCTTCTATTGAATGTCCAATTTCATCCAATGTAATGGTTTAGCTTTAAAATACAGTAACATAATTATTATTACTTCAGTTCTCAATATATTCCCTTACCCAGTAGAACAGAATGAGAAGTTCTTGTCTAGTGTGAGACGATGCTCGCCCCGCAGTTTGCCGAGCAACCGACCGAGCAAACGTGACTGCTTTCCGCTGCCCTCCATCGGTTTGCTGTCCTGCTGACCCGTTTACAGCGGATCCAAATCACTATTTCACTGTAACTAGGACCATTTTGGGTTTTGAACATCTCCATACTTAAATTATTGATAAATATCGGGAATCAATACAGGTGGCTGTTTTACGTAAGTATAATAAAGGAATTACAGGAATTCAACTTTTATCATTGATCCTCAGCAGTTTAATTGAGGCTGCTAGAGGCAGAGTGGCCTAATAACAAATAACATGATTTTCAATGAGGAAGAAAATAAAAATGCGCAATTAACTTTGGCGACAATGAATTTGTATTATTATTTGTGTAAGTATAATGTTAACAATTTTCGGTCACGAAGCTCTTGCACATTTTTTACAATGAAAATATAAAAAGCTCGAGTAATTGCAGTTAGGCTACTCTGCTTCAATGTATTCTCCAAAGTTGGAATACGGACATCCTTAGTGAAGATAGATAAGCGTAATATAAAACGCTTGCAGGCAGACTTATTATGCCATCCCGCTTTTCTTTCACCATAAAATAGTATAAGTACCAGAACTGTATCCATGGAGTGGATTTTTAAATGCTCTTTTTTTATAATACACATGAGACTCGTATGAACAAGATTAGTTACTATTCTGTTGGCTTATTAAAAAATACGAAACATTCGATTGAATATTAACTGTTGATATCAATTCAATAACTTACATATCGTAGCTGGTTTTAAGGTAATTTTGTGATGTTATTTTCCATTTTTATTATTTTTACAGCATCATTATGAGGCTTCTAGTGCTCTGTGTCATTTTTTACAATTCTTGAGACATTGACATTGTACTTGACATTAGTTTTATCGTAAAGGTATAACATGGCTTGAGTTTTCAAGCCATTCGGCCGCAAAATCCCACAATTTATGACTTTAACATATACAATAATAATAATATCTTAAATAAAATGACACTATTTAAAATGTATAGCATTTAATTCATATAAAAATACAATTATTGTTAATAATTAATATACATAATCGCATGCCGATATTGCGGTAATACAATTGCTAACAAAAATTTAAGTACATCCCCGAGGCGAAGACATGTTAAAACGTTCAAAAATTCTACAGCGAAAACTTATACGATTTTGCAAATACAAAACCGTATAGACGAAATCAAACCTAGAGGTCATTCGTTAGTACCTAACTTTTGTGACTACAGTATAAGTCTAATAGAGAGTTGGCGAACGCCTTTGACACAAGCGAAAGTAAAGATTAAAATATAAGATTAAATTCTTCGTGTACGCATTGTATAAAGTAAATAAACGCGAGGATTTACATAACTATAGCGGGACCATCGCCGACAACAGGATATCTAGCCTATCTTTACTAACATACAAGGATCAGTCGGAACGAAGATATTCGCATATAAATGCCATATAACACACATAAGCTGTTAATTGTCCAGCAACGATGTGGACGACTGCTGGATTCCCAAAGATGTCTTGAATATACGAAAGATTTGCAAAAAAATATGCCTCAACAATAAAACATCATAGGTAGGGATCAGTTGTGTCTTTTTCACTCAAATCACGTTTAGAATTTGAATGAGAAAGACAAAATGTGGAATCACCATGACACATTTATTAAAGAGGTATTTCAGGCCACAAGACCATAATCATTTAAGAATCTAGCGTAACGTCTATCGTTAAAAATAACCGTCACGAGATGTAATAACCCTAAAGCCCCAATCAAAACTTAACCAATAACCAATCAACAGCTTTACAAACATCATGCAAGATAGGCTACATATACAAACTTAAGGCACAATGCACGGTCCCAGGCCCTCTTAGCAATTACCAGAGACCAGACGAGAAGCCTCCTGGGGGCACTCGGACCCTCTTAGGCGGTTCAGTCTTGGGTTGTTCAGTCGGGGTGACCGCTGGGGTCTTAGTCTCCTTGGGTGGCACTGGCTGGACAGCAGCAGCTGGCTCAGCTGGAGCTTCCTGTTGCGGAGCAGGCTGAGCTGGTTCTGGTTCTGGCTGTGGTGGAGTAGAGGCCTCAGAAGCCCCATTTTGGCTCGGTGCTTGAGCACCATTTGTTTTAGATGATTCATCTCCATGGCCTGTGATTACAAATAAGTTATTTATATCATTGTTATAAAGTTTATAAACTAAAAACTAAACGCTTATAAAGCTATTATGACATGAGCAATAAGAAGTAAAAAATAATAATTAGTAATATAGTATAAAGTATGTTTTTATAAACAACTATGCATGTTTTCATTAGTATTTTAGGAACATTTAACAATAGAGGCCTAATTATATTACTCATATCACTACTAAGAAATAGTTCTTGTAGTAACAAATTGTAACCAAAACTGATGCTAGCAGTGTCAAGCGTCATCGAGCTAAATAACAAGTAAAACAGACCAAACATGATACCGGAAGCGGCGGGGACCTGACGTCTTCCACGCGGAGGTTCGGCCTCCCCGCTGAAGATGTCCGTGTGACCGCCGCCCGGGGGGCGAAGCACCCTGCTCGAGAGCCGGGAGCCGTCACCGAGACCAACGTTGAACGATGTGGAAGTCATGTTATATTCTGAAACTGGTAATGATTACTTAGTGCAACATATATTGCACCGTACCAATTTGTAATCTGAAAATAAACACTTTTCTCAGAGAGTTTATATAACACTAGCTGTGTCCGCGTAGAACAGTTATTTTGGGCATTCAAATTGGTTTTTGTAAAAGTGAAGAGATCTTTATACATTTAAACTTTAACCAAGACATCGGCCGCCTACCGTCTGTTCTTGCAAGTTTATGTTAAAAGATAGACATAGTGATAGATAGGTATAGTTTCGCGACATTTTTTTTAGATTATTTAAAGAGAAATAATTTTATCTACAATACTTTTTTAATATCTAACCGTTTTTGCAGCGTACGTACCGGCAACCCACGAAGTTGTATAATTTTCTACAACAAATTTTTCAATTCGAACCAGTAGTTGCTGAGATTAGCGCATTCAAACAAACAAACTCTTCAGCTTTATACATTAGTATAGATTGATCAGTAGATTTCCGTCATAAACCGTTGTCAGCCGATTTCTAATGACGTTACTTCCCACGACCAAAAAGGCTGTACAATATCGATTGTACGTCAGAAGCAGACAACACAAATGAAACAATATAACAAGCAATTAAACTGTATAGAAAGTCCATTACCGGTACAAACGCGCACTTCCGATCAATAACAAAAGTTTATTGTTTGCGCTAGACTATATTTATAGAGTAAATATTAGGCACCATAAATATTTGCTGAAAAATATTCCTACTGAAAAGTTTTTAATTCTTATTTCCAAGTGCTTCCCAGTTTTCTATTAAATTTCCGACACCCACACACGAGAAGAATCTTTAACCCTGATGCCTTATAAATGTTTATATCAGAAGGCGTTTTAAACACGATAAAGCTTAGCACTTATTATTTCCATGTAATATATATTAATTTTTAAATACAAATAACATATGTAGTTTAATGAAGAAAATAAATCGCTTTAAAATGCAATAGATATAATAAATATCTTTGAAAACCAAAACCAGTCAGTATTGTATGGTGTTATTATAAAGGAAGAGACTAAGATTACTAAGCGTTACTTGCGAATTTTTTTTGCAAACTGCGAAATTTGAAAGCGCGAAATTGGCTCACATTAATTTTATATCAAATAAAATTACCGCTACTTTTATTACTACGCCATATTTTGTGAATAACGTATATCCGTCGCGACAATGCTATGATAAAACTGCCGTTACTCACCGCGTAATGAGAAAAGTGACTTGGCTTATTGTGAGTCAATGATTCTTTCATAGCCAACATTTATAAACATGCTTCTTTAATTCCGTTTATTATAGTTAACATACGTGACTTAAGAAATGTGCTACCAATCACAGAGATACGAATCAATATTCATTGTATAATTTATAACGATATATAACTTAGAAAATATGTGAATTTGCCACCATTCTGTATTCCGAAGGAATGTTCACGTAGACACAAAATATATTTTTTTATTTAATCAAGGTGCTACTATATATCACAATTTTAAAATACTCAAATATGTAATATAAATTTGGTATGTATTAACAATGCATAAAATGTTAAGCAAAGTTAACATTAGCCTCTATAATATAAACAAAACAAGATGCTTGGTCCAATATATCTATTATTGTAGGTATATTCTCCATTGTACAAAATCGTGAATCATACTTATTGAGTTCCCCCATAATAATACTAAAATCTCTAAAACATTCGCAACTGTAATATTAAGAATATCGTAAAGTAAGATACTTAAATTAAAAATCAATTTAGATTGAAAAACAAAAAGAAATCGCTACGACACGGGCGGGTTTTGAACCGACCTCACCTCTACAGTGTTCCGTGCTGCTGCTTTAACGAATTGAACTAACGTGTTTCTTCACTCTAAATTTTTTTAAATTTGTAATATTCTTCATAGTAACTTTACTCGAGTGTCTTAATCTATACTATTATATAAAGTTGAAGAGTTTGTTTGCTTGTTTGAACGCGCTAATCTCAGGAACTACGGGTTCAAATTGAAAAAAAAATGTGTTGATTAAAGCGTTTATCGCGGAAGACTATAGGCTATAAAACATTGCGCTGTGACTAATAGAAGATACAGCAGGAAATGTAAACAAAACTGGAGAAAATTTAATCTCTGTGGGTTCCAGATGCGTACGCTGCGAAAACGGTTAAAGATACCTAAAAAATGTGGATAAAAGAATGATTCTTCTTTAAACGATCTAAAAAAAAAGTTTGTGACGCAATATGTCTATCTTTTAAGATTAATTTGCAAGAACGACGGGAAGGGACGCGATGGACGTCGTGGGTTTGCAAAAACTTATTTGGATACCGAAACGAACGATTCTCGCGGACGAAGTCGCTGGCACAGCTAGTAACTAAATACAATAGTAACCAAAATTCTAAAGCCTCGTCTCATTTTGAAAGTTTTATGTACATTATATTGATAATAGCAATTGCTCTGCAGCCAGTTAATTTCTCAACAAAATGAATGTCGCAAACATTTCCACTATATTGGTGTAACATTATCTCAGCAAAGTAAATTAGACCGGAACGATCAAAGTATAAATTCTATGAGTTTCTATCCTTTTATTAACTTTCATTAGTATAACCACGCATTGTTTAGTATCTACCAATTATATCCTTATTAGTCGGCTAGGTTAAAAGAGAAAGGACGAATCGCGAAGGCAGTAGGCGTACCATACTAATAAAACCATAATTAAAGCGACGCCGCTCCGAAGTCTCGCATAGTGGCATTGTAAACTTAATATAAATAAAAGTGGTACATAATGTCCGTACAATATTAGTAAAAAAAACGTATACAAAACACCATGACACATGTCTTTTTTATTAGACTAACCGACTTAAATTCAATAAACGAAATACCTTTTATTTCTAGGTTTAGAAAATAGCAAATCTTTTCCAGACTTAGTAACAGAGCAACGAGACATAACAATCTCATTTAAAAGTCCCATGTATATATTTTACATGTATATTCGCGAGGAATCAATAATCTTTATGCCTAATCAGATAGCTTACAAGGGCGTGTAAAACTTGTCTAGACGAAGCCCAAACCGTAAAAGTGACGCACGCGCAAGGACCATTGTGTATCACGTTACCGTATGGGGAATACAAGTTGCCTACTATGACGGTTTCTACAAATTGGTAACAGTATAAACATTAGATACGTAAGTGGTAAAATTCGACGATGAGGTGTGGAACTCGGAAGTTCAACTGGTTAGAGCAACAGCACGGAACGCTGGCGATGCCAGTTCAAGTCATGCCTAAGTCGTTCTTTTTTCAAATTACTTTCGATTTTTAATACCTTGAAGTCCTTCAACTGCTATTGGGTCGAAAACCCCTATCAGAAGACCAACAATAAAGAAGAAGAAACATTGTCTCATTTAACTGATTAAATCGAGTTACTTTGGTATATATTAAACCTGTTATAACGCTGTGTATGCCTTATTCTCGTTTAATTTAAATTACTTTTATTCCATATCAGAATAGATATCTACATAGCACAGGAAGTGTTATCTGTATTAATTAACCTAATCAGCCGCATAAACTATCTCCTTCGAGTACCTCTAGAATGAACCTTGAAAGTGCGTTGCACTTCCTATAATGCATCTTTTTATAAACCAGCTTTGCTTGGCTTTTACGTTTATTATTTGGAATGTTTCTAGTCAATACACATCAACAGAGGGCTGTAAATTTTCTTTCATACAATTCAAGCAAACAACCAATCAATCATATTCCTTCATGATTACTTGTGGGGACTTACCTATCGTTTTATTAATGACAGACAAGTACAGGGTTTACTTGATGGGAGGCGAAATAGACGTATAACATTAACACAAAATGCGCTGTCGGCCCATTTTGGCTTTGAATACTCGATACGCTTACTTTCGAACCTTTCGTTACTTTTTCAAAATATTGTCATAACACGATCTTACGACTAAAACTTTCTATTTGTACTCGTATCACGTATTAACATGTAAGTAATGTAAATTAATCTCTCCAAACTTCCTAAAAACAATTCCAGTAATTGTAGGCTGCAATTTATTAAGCTTTTAAGGGTTTATTCATTTAATATAAACAAAGCATATTACCAAAATAAACACGCCCACTATCGACCCATGACCGAAATTTCGCTAAAAGATAAGCTACCCGATTTGGCTATAACAGTTTTCGGCCCAAAACCGGTGTAGGATTACAAAGATAATCTTGTTAGTTAAAATTCGTCATGCATTCTGATATGTACGGCTTCAATAAATAACCTAACATTTTTTTTTTAATTTTTGTCTAACTTTTAAACAGCTGAATCAAACTTGAAAGTATAAAAAAAAACAAATTTACATTGGCATGATTAAAAATCTGTAAGCCGCGCACTATATAATGCATATGTAATAATAACATCACTATTTTTCATTTTTACACATGGTAACTTTTCGGTGAAAAATAACCAAAGGTTATTATAGTTACGTTTAGTTTAGTGTAAGGGAAAATAATACTGCAATTAATTACTGGAAATCCCATTATGGCGACATGTTTCCCCTTTCATGACATCCCTAATTATTGCAACCCCACAAGGCACCATTGTAACAAAATACCTAATAATGCAACACATATCAAATAACTGGTTTTATAAACCACAATGGCAAGGTAAACGGATTGGATTATATGATCAGTTTGCTAATCTGACCATACCTGGCCAACCTTGTAATTCATATGTCTATTGTTTGGTAAACAGCACTTATAAGTTTATAATACACCCCCAGATTTCCCTATTAATAACATTGCACAGTGAAGCATACAAAACTGTTGTGGGCTTGGAATATTTACATTTAGAAAGCTTGACTTCTTAGTCATAGTAATAAGGATTCACAATATAAAAATTACTCTCATATAAAAGTTTATTCAGATAACCAAGTCATTTTTGGCTCTCAAAATAATGATAATATAAAAGTAATATGTATCAATATAGACAGGTTGATTGGATGGTAATAGGGAAGTTTAAGATGGATTTAAATACAGTGTAAAAACATTCAAATGTAAAAACTTAAAAGCATAACACATTTTGTAGATATGTAATTAAAGTAGAGTTCTGCTATATAAATTATTCGGTTCAACCAATTCAATTATTACTTATAAGAATTCTCCTCCCTAGTTTTATACCTATATCTTCTTATAATCTCAGTTCAAGTTCCAAACTAACATAATATTTTATCTGATGTAATAGAAATACTCAAATAAGACACTTCAAACCCTTTCAAAAATCTACAAGAACCTTACTATGTAAGATAAAAATAGAATCAATTACTAAGTTTATTAATACTGCAAAGTGCTTATATTATAAGTAAATAAATATATTTATGGCAAATTCTAATGAAAGAAATCGTGTTTTAGGAAAATGGGTCTTATATATTTTAGATACAAATAAAATATCATAGTTGTTTACATACTGACAAAGATAAGATATGATTGGTATTGATTGGTGACCAGTATTTGCAATCTTATCGTTAGAATTAAAATATGTTGTATGTAATTGGAATACCAGATAGAGCGGAAGTAATACAAGCATCCTTTTCAAATATATAGTGAAACATTCTACTAAGGACAAAGAAATATAAATTGCAACAAAAGGGATGGGGTTTTGCAATAATTTTGACAGTCGGACAGACTATGAAGCGGTAGTTAACGTCTAACGGTAAGTTTAGATAAGTAAAAACTTCTTTTTATTGTGCAGTTTATGCGCAAATATGTAAAATCACCCATACCAACGCTAGACGAAGCACATTGACCTCTTGAAAAATAACGGCCCCCGGCGGATTTATCCGGCTGACAAACTTTCACGCGATCTACTAAACTCAATTGTTATCGGTTGAAGAGAAAAGTAAATCTAAATTTCCCCTATAATTCATACAATTTTTAAACACTATAACGTATTTTGTATAAAAAAAAACAAAACTCACCTGCAACGACTCGCCTTCTTTTTGAAAGAATGAAATTTGTTTGTCAAACAAATGTGTCATTTGCTTAATGACAGTTTTAGTGTTGCAAGTTATAAAATTGTAAAAAGCCCAACCATTCATTTTACATATGAAATGGTTTGAAACAAAGAGACAGAGATAACAAAAATTGTTTGTAATCATAAATTCATAAGAAAAGATATAAATATTAATGTTTATGAGTGAAGTTCAGAATAAACTTAGTAATAAAATACATAACCAATAACTACTTCATTGTGAATATTTACTCAGTCTACTAGCAACATAAAAAAACTGCTTTTATCCAGATAAATGCAGATTACTGTTTAAGAATTGAGCAAAAAATTTATATCTCTTTCTTATTAAATAAACCTTATCAAACAAACTATATTTTTTGTGTGATAATAAATACAATTCCAATATTTTTTATTAAAATAAATAAATAATATACCCTTTCAAACAATTGGTTCATGAACGACTCTACAAACAATAATGCGCTCCGCATACTAACCAAACAATCGATTATTCGTATAATGTAAATCGAAAGGAAACATTGAATTATGTTGTTATGCAAAGTAATACAATGTATCTATAATTATTTAAATTTTTAGTTAATAAACTTAGCCAAATAGTTTGACAAAAATATTTTATTTTTATTTCTGAGTTATCTGATTTTATTTATCGATGGTACGATATTGTGGTACTTTAAAGAATTATTTGTCCAAACATTTTACAATCGAGTATTGACTTTCAAACATCGATATTACTTTATTTTTAGACATTCCTACAGTGTATGGTCTTATCTTCTTTAGTGTTTTGGCGAGCAAACAATTTGAAAAATATTCGAAATGGAAGTCAAAGAAGCAGTTTCTAAAGAAAATACCGGTGAACCAGTAAAAACAAATAATGCGGAAGTAAGTTATCAAAATTTATTCATGTGTTTAAAAATAGACTAAAACCTATCAAATGTCGGCTTCTAATTTCATTTTTTTTCTGTACTTAAGATGCGATTTCTTGTTATAAGTTGAAATGAAATACATTTTAAGGTTCTTAAGGAGTTTTTCTAAGTTATGGTTTGTATATAATCTTGAAATAATTAGTTGTATAGCTAACCTCAACTTATTTGGCCTTAAGCCAGAATACTGTTTATGATATTTTTGTACCAGAGCACGTTTCTTGTTTTGTTCTTTTATGGTTGTAAAACAGATGAGAGTGCTAAGTAGTACAATTAGTGTTAAAAACAATCAATTTCAGGACAAACCACCGCCAATACATGAACATCCAAAAAAGTCTAAAAAAGGCGACCGGTTGAACCAGGATGACAAAAACCTAGAGCAGTTCATGAAATCCCTAAATACCTTGCCAAATTCTGAAGATAAGTTGTCATTTGTATGCAAAAAATATGTACAGGCAGCAGATGAAAACAAAAAGATGCAATTTTTTATAAAGCAATCAGAAAAGCGATACACACTGCTTGTAAAGGAAAAAGACCAACTGCAGCATGAATACAATAAGACTATATTGGTCAAATCTAAACTGGAAAATCTCTGTCGGGAGTTACAAAAGCACAATAAAGCTATTAAAGTAAGTGCATATTATTGAAAAGTTCTTTAGTTCTAATTATTTTAGGAACAATACTGTTAGAGCTACATTGGTAGTTGCTACATTGAAATTTCTAAATTCATAAATTGTGGTGGTTGATTTCATCATCATCATGATGATAAAGGAGTGATATAGAAATATCTAAAACCCAAGTAGCTTTCTAAAATTATTAATTATAGCAAAGTACATTTACTACCTGTCCTACAATTAAAGTTCTCGATTTCTCTTAAACTAATTGTATATAATTCTTTCCAGGAAGAATCCCTTATTAAAATTCGTGAAGAGGAAGAACGCCGTAAAGAGACACAGGCTAAATTCCAAAACACACTGTCAGAGATTAATGCATTGTTGCAACAAAACAATGAGAAGAATGCCAAACTTAGAGATGATAATATTAGTATGACGGAGAAGTTTAAGAGTGTTGTACAGCAATATCAGCTTAGAGAACAACAGGTGTGCAGAACTGGTTATAGGTTTGACCTATCAAACATCTTTAGCATAGTCTTTAAATCTGTATTGCTGCACATGTTGTAATTGTAGTGCTTTTTGTTTTCAATAAATCTTCTATCTTCCTATTATGATATAACAATTATTCTTTTTTATATTAATATTTTGGTGTGTATTATTTAAACCAGGTAGACAAAATGGCCAAACAAATGTCTTTAGAGTCACAACTATCAGATGCAAAGCTTCAAAAGGCAGCATTAGAACATCAAGCTGAAAAAGAACGGCTCTTAGCGGAAGCTGAACAGATGAAAGTCACCCTTGCTCAGTATAGAGCCAAAATAATGGAGCTACAGGGTACAGAGACAGCTCTTAAGGGCCAACTCTCAGTGTATACTGATAAATATGATGAATTCCAGAATGCTCTGGTCAAGAGTAATCAAGTTTTTGGAGGTTTCAAAGAGCAGATGGAAAAGGTGAGATATTTACATACATTTAGGGCTAGGATCTTATAGGCTTCTTTTTTTAACAAACGTAAATTTTAAAAACTTTTTAACAAATGTAAATAGCAAAGTTAAAAGAACCCTCAAATAAATTTATACAATAACAACAATTTTGAATGTAACCATTTATAGATGTCAAAGAAAATTCAAAAGCTAGAAAAGGAGTCTCTCTCTTGGAAAAAGCGTTGGGAAACCTCTCAAACAGCACTGCTGGACATGTGCGGAGAGAGGCAGGCCAGCGAAGAAAGAGCAGCGGCAGCTAACCGGCATCTACACCATATGCAGGGTCTTTGCAGAACCTTACAAGTAAGAAAGATATGATTGACCTTGATTAATTAATGTGATATTTTCTTTCAAATTAAGTATTTTAAATGAAAAATGTGTCTAGGAATAAGGTGGATCAACAAATATTTTCGGTTCAGTTAGTTTGTTTTTCTTGTATACATTTGCCCCCTTACAATTGACTTTTAAAAAAGCTTTATTCCAAATCAAAAACTTTCTTTCAGGCTGAACGCACAGTGCTGTTCAACACTCTTAAGGAGCACAACATAGAACGGCCTCCGATGCCTGCTCCGACTCCCGCGCCTCCCGCTCCACCACCCATACAGACAGCTAGTGATGCTAAGGTAAGGAATACACAGATATGGATATATATAAATATAGTGCCTAAGTTATTTTCTTATAAACGCTTAATATTGCCATTTGCGTAAAATGAACTAGAATATAAATAATGATTGATTATAAAACTATTATAATCATTTTGAAATAGCCCATATGACTGTTACTAATCCCCTTTCCTACCTATCCCCTTCATTATAATAGTAAAGTGGACAACAATTGTAATATATATTTACTTTTATTCAATTTATTTTAATAAACCATAGGTGGACGCGATGGCAGCTAACTGCGCCCAACTAAGACAAAGCCTCGCGCATTTACAATCGCAATTAAATACAATATCAAACAAACAAGAAAAAGAAGAATCTCCCAAACCAGAAACAAAGAAAAAATCCAAATCCAAAAAGAAAGATAAGGCCCAAAAAGCAGCAGAAAATGTGGTAATCACTAATGAAAATACAGAAAAACTAGAAGCCAATGCAAATATAGAGAAAACGGAAAATTCTGAAACAAATAAAGCCAAAATAAATGAAATTGAAGAAATCCACAATCAAAAACCAGAATCGACAACTGAAAGTCCGGATGAAAAAATTGACAACAAAACTATGGAAAATCTTATACAGGCGATAAATATGGCGAATATTAATTTGTGCGACTTAGAAGTTGTAAATGATGATAACAAAACAGTAATCCAACCGAATGCAGTAGATGGCAATACTGACACAAATATAATAGACGTAAATAGCGTCACAAACGGCGAAGTAACAGACAGTGGGGATAATAAAATTGAAAATACTAATTCTATAAATGTATCTGCGCAGGACAAGGAAATGAAGGAGAACCAAATCAACACTAGTGAAAAAGAAATAGAAAATTCTGGTGAAATAATTGAAGGAAAATGAGTCGCAATTTTAAACGTTTAAGGTCGTTATAGATGTGTACTTGGTTATTATAAAAATCTCTTATGAGTAGTTACCGGGTTCTCATATGAATTTGTTTGTATTTCGGATGAGAAATGGAAGTGCATCTACAGAATAGTGGTATGACCATACCGACGGACAATTTTTAATCAACATACATAAGATTTTCGTTTACTTTTATCATAAGGTCCAAAAAAATCTTACATAATTTGCAACTCATCAATTTGTTTAAAATCTCGTCCGTGATTCTTTGAAAGTTTTGAATAATTGACTCAGTATTAGATGTTACGTTTGGTATTTGTTTTTTTTTCGACTGCCTCTCAATATGAATCAAAGCGAATAATGTTTAGTGAAGAGTAACATGTACTGAAATTTACATATTACATACATTAAGAATTTCCTTTCTTAGTACTTATTTGAGTCTCTATCTATATTTACGTATTCGTATAAAAGGGACTAAGTATGTAAATAAGCCTTTTACAAGTTTTGACACTGTACATGCTACAGTAGAATTTTTTTCTGCAACCCACAATAATATTATGTAGAATTTTTATATGATTAAGTCATATAAATACTATTCGCTTTGAGTCATTATTTTTTAATTACTAACATAATATTATTAAGTGTGTAAATATTATGATAATCATTTGTTATGAAATCATAACTAGAGAATGTGACTCAAGTTTTTGTATTGAATAAAGTGTTTTGTATGTGCAAATGGGTTTTTAATATTACATTTAGTAAGTAATAGTAGTTAGTTATTGAATTTAAAAGAAGTGAAATTTTTAGTGACACAAGAATATTAAAAAAATATTTATTAAACCAAGCTTAAAACTAAAAAACAAATACTCTAGACTCCCTTTATATAGTAAAAGATGGTGAATTATACGTATATTGTATATAAACATCTAAGGGTAGTTTAATTATGTCAAAAAACAAGTGACAAGTAGTTAAAACAAAAGAACTTCTTTCGCTACCTAAACTATTTTCTAATTACGCATTGTTGCTAATTTAGTAGTATCCCAACTTTCTTAGTTATACGTAAATTGTTGTTAATTATTCCATTAGACTTAAAATGGCTTCGAATTTATTAACTACGGATTAATAATTTATCTACGCGTTATCTATTTTCTAAATTTTGTAATCACTCCTCGCAGTCTTCCTCTTCTTCTTCCTGAGGTGGTTCTTCATGAACTGGTTCTGAAAGTGTGGATTTATTTTGCAATCTTACATCCGGTTCATTAAATTCATTCAAACGTGACATCACATCATTAATTGCGTATTTATGTGAATTCAGACACTGTTGATGTTGAGTTTTAAAACACATGTCAAAGTAAAATTTGCCTAACATCAAAAGTGTGGAATATATTTTCTAATCTGTATACGTTATTGCTAAAAAATATATATTTCTCAACAATTTCTGAGAGCGCTTATTCAGATTTGTTATTAATTATATTAACTAAATTTAAGCAAGCTTATGTACATTAATACACGCGAGTCATTCTAATAAACCTATTCTGGAGTGAGCTAAAACAAAATATATGGTTCAGTTAATAAATTTAACTATGACCTGCCGTGTTAGGTGCTTTTACCAATTACTCGTTTTAACTCGTACTAAAATAGTTTTATTAAAAATATTCTATACACAGACTTTTTATATTCACACCACTTTTATGTAGCTACTCTAAAGAACCCCGTGCATCTAATTCTGTTATTACTTAAGCGTTTAAACAAATAAGTACGTCACTTACCGCCATCCCCTACCATTGAAAGAAACCTGGCAGAGCACTACTTAAAACATGTTCATTTTTAAAAGTGGGAAAATGATTTTCAGCATTTAAAGACTTTGCGTTCCCATTCGACCCAGTGGCAGAGACTTGGCCACTTTTTGGTGGGCGTAAAATTTTAAATTCGACCGAATTCGATTTAATGTGGGACTTGTAAGGGGACATATTGAATTTTAGGGGTTCTTGTGGTGCAGCATAACGCCGGTTTCCTTCCTCCTGTTGCCGTAGTCTCGGCTCTGAAAGAACGTTATCCTTTACGAGGCCTGTGCTGTCGGAATTACATGTTATTGCTATATTGCATGTACGTATGTTAATTCACGATCAAAATTAGATAACGGAATTACGCCTCTGAACAATTCCACTTGTTATGTTGGAGCTCTTGTTACGTGTTGTAGGTAACGGTTCACCGTATCTTACATACCACTACAAACCCTAAAACCTTCCAGTTGGCATAGTTAGGTCATCGCCCAGGAGTTTATTTCTTAGTAGCTGCGCCAGTGACTTCGTTCGCGTAGAATAGTTATTATAGGCGTTGAAATTTGTTTTTGCAAACCTTCTCCTCATCTTTACAAGTTATAGCTGTTACCCACGACGTCGTTCGCGTCCCGTCGTTCATGTAAGATATTATTAAAATAGAGGCATATACTGTAACAAGCATCTTTTTAGATTATTTCAAGTGGAATCGTTGTTTAATAAATATTTTTTTCACATTTCCCTGTTTCTTCGCTTCAATTAGTTACAACGTAATGTTTCCTCCTTAATCCTCGATAAATGGTCCAACCAACAAAATTCGAACCAGTAGCTCCCGAGATTAGTGCGTTCAAACAGACATACTCTTCAGCTTTACAAAATTATTTAGATATCTCATTCTATGTTATTCGAATTGGTGATGAAAAATAATTATTCATATTGATAGCAACCCAGTCTCATAAAATTTCGTAGTTTTGTGTATTTTGTCAGATTTCGATCGATTAGCTTAATTCATATGAATGTTGACATTGATTATAATATTTATAGTCGTATTTTATATCTGTTAGTAAGAAGTGAGTGAGATCATAATGTGTTTTACTATATTTACCACGCTCCAAAAGTTTATCTCCGTTGTTAAATTCTACGATATCCAATATTAATATTAGACAATATGTTAGTGTTTTGTGATTACATATTACTATTATTATAAAGATAATAATGTTAACTCTGTGAGGTTATAAGAATTTCAGTCAAGCGAGATGTCAGACAGTCAAATAGTCAATAGCGAGTTTTAAAGTCATTTAGTCATTGAAATAAAGTTATTGTAACAAAACGTTTATTAACTATTACATCACTAATACTCTGGACATCACACTTATCTGTCTAGTTAGTGGTTTGGGCAAAGGATTACTTTACATTTTTGTATTCTTACAAAAATGAAAGTCTGTTAACAGATTAATAAATATTTAGGCTGACCACATACGGATGTTAGGGCTTTTAACATCTTCCTATGTTTAACAACACTGTTCTCCTTATATGGTCATCCCAAGCGAAAGATTAAAAAAGTATAAAAATATCACAATTAAAGTTACTCAACTCAACCATCTAGCTAGCTCTTACTTACATCTAAGTTAAAACTAATTTGTTTATACTGAAATAGGATGTTTAAATAAATTAATACTAATGTTTATATCCTATTTCAATATGAACGTTATTTGATGTCTTGGTATACTTTTAAACTCGAGAATCTTTTTGTTTTGCTTTTAACTCGTACTGGGATATTAAAAATTATAGTCCGGAGGGGCGAAACGCCTTGATTCTCCAGCTTTAAGTATAACCAGCCACCAAAATCGTTCTAAATAAACCTAATCCCGCTACTGGTGCTGGTATTCCGTCTGGTAGTACTCCTGGTTTTCTGGTGCACGTTTGTACTCTTCGCTGCTCGTACCTTCGTGTGAGGAGTCGTGCTGCTGGCCTAGGCCGGCGGCCGCTGCCTTCGCTGCTGCTTCCGCTGCGTTCGCTTGCGCTTGTTGTGCGGCAGCCTAAATGGAAGTAAGTAAATATCAATATTTAACATTATTTTCAATACATTCAATGCGTACGTTTAAAAGAAAAGAAATCAAGTAAATTTGCCATCATTATTCAAATGTTCTATTATCGCAATATTTAAACAAATAAACGCATGACATCTAGAATCTAAAATAGATTTGAGTGACAAGAAGCAATTGAAACACGTTTCAAATTAAAAATTATCTTTTTAATATGTATTGTTAAAATACGATTGACATCTCAATGTCCTGGAAAAGTAAGTACGGCATCTCTGATTTGAAGACCTGTGTAAGACATCGTATGGGTTTGTTAGCAAAGGTTTATGATTTAGATATGTCTGTAGTTAGAACAACTATCAACCTATACTGTTACAAATAATATTAATTTGTATTTGTTATGTGTATTTTTAAGCACAGATACAGATATAGATTTAATAGGTAGATATTATAGTCTACTCTACGCTACATTGTTTCCAGTAAAAAGTTCAAGAAATGGCATTCTGGTCAACTATAATATGTATAAAATGTATTTGGTCTATGAAAAACAGAAATGCCTAATAAAATAGGGATTCCATAAACATTCATCTCTTTCCCACTATCTCTTACAAAGGACAAGGACGCAAAATTATCAATGATCATCAATTTTTGCTCGTCTTAATATATCGTTAAAAATATAATTCGTACCTGTGCCTTCCTGGCAGCGGACTGTGTAGCCTCGAAGTCAATTCTGACTCCCTTGAGCTGTTCCTGTAGGGTCTGCAGTCGTTGTCTGGCCGCACCCACCATCGCGGTTTGAGCGCCGAGCTCTCCCGCGGCCTGTGACGCTGCCTCGTTCGCGTTCTCCGACGTCGCTTGCGCAGCGTTCAGTGCTGCTTGGATTACGTTCACCTAAAATATAATTGGAAATATTGGTTCTGAAGAGGCCACTGGCAAAGTAAACTTGACCAAATAAGGAAACTAAAAATCGATTATAAATTGAAAAACTTACGACGCGGGCAGGACTTGAACCGGCATTCACAGCGTTTCGTGCTGTTCCTCTAACCAATCGAGTCCTACACGTCAAATTTTTTCAACCTATTGATACATGCACCTCTCGCGCAATGTAATTTCAACGTTAACACTTGCGCATTAAGGTAGCTCAAATGGTTAGTGGAACAGCACGGAACGCTGTGGATGTCGGTTCAAGTCTTATCAGTGTCGCAATTTTTTTAAATTTATAATCCATTTTTAATTTTTGTCATACCATCATGTGCAATAAGGAGTGAAATATATTAAAATTTTTAAACAAACAAGTAAACTATTTGGCTTATCTATTAATAGTCTGTGTAATCTTATTAAATTAGTTTATGGAAGTACCAATCATAGAATATTATTTCTAAAAAAATTGCTACAAAATTTCATAAGTACCTAAATATAATTGTTTCATCATGTCGTACTGAAATAAAATATACATTAAAAAACAGCGTACACAGTTCTATATTAAGATGGTTATTTAAATCTAATTTTTGACAAAAATAAAAGGTTGCTAGTTTTTGGCCCATTATTAGTGGAACGTAAACTCACGTTATAACAATAATATAAAAAATCATAACGATTTAAAGTAAGTAGATAATATTTAGGATATAAAATTTTACATCTAAATTTTATCTTATTATTTATGTTGTTAGATTCTAAAACGTTGTAATATTAAGATACATACGATGTTGAGTACGGATTTATAATAAACTTTAAAAGTCATAAGCAAGCCTCGACTTTAATTTCTCAACACCATAACAATAGTGGAATTTTTATTTATAAGATACTTGAGATATACAATTTGAATTAAATATGTATTTAGATTGGAGAAAATTACGATACGGTCGGGACTCGAACCCGCATTCACAGCGATCCGAGTTGCTAGTGAGAGATCTAACCAATTAAGTTACCATGTAACATAATATAAATGGTTATAGTAACAGCTGATGGATGGCTATGGACGCCATTTTGAATTCCACTCGTTTCGTATAATTTTTCAGTCTCCATAATTTTTTAATTTATATAAGATCATGTGTATAATATACAAAAAGTAATAAACTTGTGAAATATAAAGCGTGACTAATAGATGTAATACGACAATAAAAAATGTATTTTAACAAATTAGGTAAGTATTTCTCTGCAAATGCAATGCAAATGTCTTGTACGTTTTTCATTTAGCTGTGACAAGTTGCGCAAAGTTTTTGTACGTAACGTTATTTCTCAGAAATTGCGTTCGCTATCGATAAAAAGTAAGTTTTTGCTTAAATTACTTATGAATTAGTCCATTGTCAATTTATATTGGGGTTACTTAAATTAGATTTCACTTTAGTTAGTGAAATCCGTAGGAAGAATAAGACTAGAATTGTAAAGAATCGATCATAATTACATTTTACGTTACTCACTTTATAATATTTATTTTAATCATAATAACAATTGTAATGCTTCAGAAAACGATTGGTACCTTTGCCTACGAACATTTTTTTAAATTATTTTTTAATTTACCTACTTATGACAGAGTAATTGATAATGAAAACATGTAAGTTTTCTTTCATACCTGATGCATAGCCTGTTGCGCTGCCTGTGCCGCCGATTGCGCCGCTCTCTTTGCCTGCTGCAACTGCATTTCTTCGCCTTGCAGCGCGACCTTAGCGTCCCTGACCTGCTGCTCGAGACCCGAAAGTATCACCTGCTTCCCCGCGAGCGCTGCTTGCGCTGTAGCACTAGCCTGCGACGCTGACTGGGCCAGCGTATTCTTGGCTACGTACGCCGCCTGATAAGCGGCAGCTTGCTGATTCCCTAGTGCTGTTTTCGCTTGATTAGCTGAGCCAACAGCTATTGTTCTCAAACCACTGCCTCTGCTGTATCCTTTCTTGTTGGCTTCTCCGCTCGCAGCTGCTTTAACGTCCTGTATATACGCGTCATAGTGGTTTGACTCGGCTGGTTCCTGAGATTGTGCAGAATTTTCGTACTCGTAGTCATATTCCGCTCTTTGGGAGTCGCGGTTTGCAGGTGCGGCTGATATAACGGAGATGGCACCTGGAAAATTTCCTAAGGTTAATGATTCCAACTTAAAAATAGAAATTTTTTTAAAGAGTTTAGGACAAAAATCGTCTTTGCAAAAGCGTTTTAAATTTAAAAAAAAGTCTGTGACGCAGTGGAACCCGATCCACAAGACGACGAAAGCGTAACTGATATTTCATCCATGTTAAATGTCAACTAATGTGTAAAAAATATATTTATTTAATAATGTCGATAGTTTACGCGTCTCCCCGTAACCACGGCTGCTGCAAAGCATCCGAAACACGGGCCGAAGTTAAAGATACATTTTCAAATAAGTTTAACTAATTATCGCGTTTTAAACTGTTAAACTGTGCTTTATTTAAATATATTTATTTTAATTATGAAATTTCCAAGTACTTACGGATTTAAAAGTTTATCACCAAATCAGGTAAAAGCGTCCAATGAGGGATAAATATATTGCATGCTGTTAATCTACATTGAATATAAGTAATCACATAATTGAACAATTTACACAGTGTGTCTCAATTACTTAATAATTATGTACGCGCCAGTGCTTAAAATTGCAGTATTTATTAGTTATTGTTCCAATCGGAAATGAGGAACACGCGAAGATTATGCCTCTGGTATTCCTTATTTACCTCGTAATCTAATTACATAAATATATTATTACCTATGTGTTTTTTTGCTATCTGTTAAACAACGCTTTGTGTAATAAGTAAGAATCGTAAAAGGTGACTAATTACTGTTTGTTCGAGATGCAAATTAGTACCAAAACGTTTAATTTTCTATAATGACGAACCAATAAGACTTTTTTTTAAGTTTATCATGCATTAAAATTATAAATATCAGATTTTATGGTTTCATAGTTTTACTTACATATAAAAATGAATACGGTCCTTAGAGCCATGTCGCTACCAGACGGGCTGAAATCACAAAACACTTGTTATTTCTTTTTCTAAATTTAAAATAAAAAAAAATCACTCTATCACTCGTCTACCTTCCAATACTTTCACGTAAACTTGGTTTTGGTTTATTAATTTTTAGGGTAAACGCGCCCCTTTGCAAAGCTTGTGCAGTAATGTACAGGTTGATAGCAGCTATTTCTATTTATAGTGAATGTTCGATAGAGTGGCAAACGATACAACTCGGGATTTCTATAGAGTGGGAAATCGCTATCACGAAATTCTTTTGTTTTTTTAAATCTTCGTCACGATAAAAATTTATTGTTCATCAAAGATATTTGTGAGTCTAGTTTTTAGTAATTTATATTTTAGATAATTTTTACTTAATTACAATAATAGTATCGTAAGTAATTTGTTTTGTAATTTAAGACAAATCTGACTACTGATAATATAATACTATATCTTATTTGATTTGATTTTGACTTTTTTTTATATAATTTATGATTATATGTATATTTTGTTTCATTCAAAATAATTAGTTTAGTTAGTTGATATCGTCGAAAATAATGCGTGAAAGTACCTGGCTGAAGTGTTCGTATCAAGTTGTAACCACTCTATACAATCTTCATTATTTTGTTGTTACGTTGCAATTTATGGGTATACATTATTACATTAAACAATACATTTAACAACAGCAGGCTTGCTTTCCTAAATCCTGCGTGAAACCATCCTTAAAGTTTTAGTAAAGTTGATCCATTTGTAAACGTCATCATCAGGTACTTACTTACATTTTACTATAATTGAAAAAAGGATATTTTAGCATCACTTCTCTATTAGGGCAAGTGCATCGTCAAAAAGGTCTTTATTTGTGAAGGTATAAGTTATATTATACTTATATTACTAAGTAAGACGTTGTGCAGCTCTTTAACTTCTTAAATTTGCCAAATCTGCCGTAAGTACCTACGCAATTTAGACGGAAAAAAGCTTGAATAATAGGTAGTCTAGATTTTCGTGCCAATGATTCGTGAAAAAGGCGAAAAAATTTCACCAAACAGACTGGAAACAGTTATCCAACAAGTCGTGATTTATCTGCAAGAAATTACTCCGTTCAGAAGAGATTATTTAATAATGGCTATTGTTATCAGAGACTTCCAATTATAAAAGACTTGCACACTTCGCAGGAAAGCTGATGCAAAAGAGACTTCTCTGTAGGTAAGTAAATTAATTCGGTTCCTAGAAACTTTGTACGTTTACACGAAATTTACACCTTCGACATCTCGTACTTAGTGCGATGGTGGTAGTCAAATACAAAACAAATGACTACTAAAATAAATTTGTCATAAAAAACTAACTCTACTTAAATTAAATAAAAAAAAAAATTATAGATAACACCTACACGTTATAATACTTTCAATTTGAATATACCTGTATTAAAATAATCACAGTTATTGTTTACGTATCATTTACTATTGGAAATTTTAAAAGAGAAAAACGACTATATATAGTATTGAATTGACTATAGTTTGAATTTCTAATTCAATTGATTTAAGTTTGAAAAAATTTCACGACACGGTCACGACTTGAACCAGCATTCACAGCGTTCCGTGGTGTTGCCCTAACCACTTAAGCTACACGTACGACGTCGACGAATTTTTTCAACCTATTGATGCACATGCATCTCTCGCGCAATGTAATTTCAATTGCCGAAACTTTATTAATATATTTTGGAGCAGCCTGAATAAATCGATTTTGTCACCTAAAATTTACGATAGAAAAACTAGATTCGCCTTCAAATATTGTCATGCCTACTATTATTTATGAATGTGTTACAAAACGAATGTTTCTTACCTTGGCCTTAAATTTTTTTCCTGCATAAAGTCTAATAAAATGTAATTTGTATTTCTGTTCTTTGTTTATTACTTAACTATCGTAAATACTCTCTTTATTTAAATAAAACACTTTAACGGTTTAAAACGCGATATATTAGTTAAACTTGCCGTGGTCATGGGGAGACAAACGGCTGCTGCAAAGCATCCGAAACGTCGGGCCGAAGTTAAAAATCATTTTGAAATAAGTTTAACTAATACATCGCGTTTTAAACCGTTAAAGTGTTTTATTTAAATGTGTACTACTCGCGTAAACTATAGGCAGTATTTATTCTCTTTATTTAAATACTATCTGTGGCCGCGTCTTCGTCCGCGTAGAATAGTTATTTTTGGCATCAAAATTCATCTTTATAAAATTTGCTTTTTGCCACGATGCCGTCCGCGTTCCGTCCTTCTTGCAAGTTAATCTTAAAACATAAACATTTACTGTCACTGAAATTTTTCAGATCGTTTAAAGAGAATCATTATTTCATACATATTTTTTAGGTACCGTTTTCGCCGCGGACGCGACGGAAAGCCTTAAAGATTAATAATATTTAACTAAAATATATTTTTTTACTAAAATAATATTTTTTGAAAAAAATTTTTTAGTTAAATACTATTGAAACCCCACTGTTTCTTCACTCCTTTTGGCCGCATCGTGATGTTTTATATGTATGTGCCTTCTTCGTTAAATGCTCTAAGCACTGCAAAATATTGTTTCAATTCAAATCAGTAGTTTCTGAGATTAGCGCTCTCAAACAAACAAACGCTTCAGCTTTATATATTAGTATTGATGTGGTCTTCTATCAACCCCGATGTTCAAGTGCTCATATACCTACAATTATCTTGCGACCCCAACGCAAAAACAACTTTGACAACTCTTAACAAAAATAGAGGTTTCGTTCATAGCGATAGCGATTAATATATATTTTTTTCACTAGATGGCGATAAATTTCACTAGAACGCGCTATAGGAATCATCACGTCCTACTGTTATATTCTTATCGATTTCAATGTAACGTTTTACGGGTCACGGTACTTAAACCGTTGAATATTTTTGATTGGGCCAATGTCTAGATCATCTAGAACAGCTCTAATAATTATCATTATATAACATTTGCCTCTGACCGCGCGGAAAAGCTTATTAGGGCATCATCTTTGCAATGTAACGTTTTTATCAGAAAATGATCCAACCGACACGAATATAATGTTACAATTTGAAACAGAAGTTTCTGAGGTTAGCGCGTTCAAACAAACAAATAAACTGTTCCCCTTTATAATATTAGTTTAGACTAAAAAAAAATGTTTATGTAACCTAGCAGGACTACATAATATGATATAGAATTACAGAGAATGTCGTACAGTCAGGCTACGAAATAACAAAATAAGTTATAACTTTTAAACGTTGTTTTTCTCTTGAGCTAGTTGTTACGGTTTTTAGTAATAGCATTGCATTGTAGCCATCACGTGCTGCCCACTGACTTGACCAATTTTGAAACTGATGTTCCGTAAGCTTAGTTACCGGTTCGATATCTGTGTGACCATTATATATTTTTTATTTAACTAACATTAAAGTATAAGGACCGAAATATTGTAGACGTATTGAGGCACTATAGCCATAAAGCACAAAAAAACTATGGAGTGTAGTAATTCTGAACGGGCTTATTCATATACGCTATATCTTAATAAAAAATTAAAATAAGATTAAAAATTCATACGTATAGGCGAAACAGCGTTCTAAATTTTTAAACAATATAATATGTTATATGTTTTGTTATAACGTATATATTTTTTTATGTCTGTTCACGCACGTCTGGCCGTTTATACACCGACTTCGATGATTCTTCTTTTGATGGATTAGATTTGATTATGGAGCCAAGAAACAGTCGACGACACGCTTCAACGATTCACAGTAGCTGCCTTGTGTTTTTAATTAATTTATTGATATTGATGAGACATCTCTCTCTCGTCTATCCGTTTCGTTTTTTTTTACAAAAACTCAACCGACAGTAACTAAAAATACAATAAACTACCTCGCTCAAAGTATTAAATACGTGTGTTAATTTAGTTATATAAAAATGTTTTAATAATTTTGATTTCAGTGAAACTTAATGTTTCAACCTTACTAAAATATCGTATTACTAACTACTGGTTAGCAAACTTTGCTTTCAAAAGTTGTTTTAACTGAATCTACTTCTAACTAAATCTACCCCATACTTGTTGTATCATTATGTCAATTGTCAAAATAATGAAAATGTCAAGTTTGCTTGCCGTACAACTTGTAACGTCTATGTCACTGGACATAAATTGTCACTCAAAGTGACATCATATTCTGACAAGTCCTGTCTAATACTTTGAAATAATAACTATTCTCTTTTACCTTTGAAACAGCATGGGAATTGTAAACTTACATTAAAAATATACAAAAAAATTATAATGCTTCTAGAAATTAAAAAGAAAAGGGTTTCGAAGAAAAACAAAGCAGCATGGCGTAAATACAGTGATATCCGTGATGTAGAAGAGTTTTTAGAGGAACAAAGATTGGAAGAACGCCTTGGGTAAGGTTATGTTTCGACCTATAGTAAAAGACCTCACAGCACCAAAGTATATTTTGTGTACTTTTTAAATATTGAAATCATTACAAATTTTTATTATTACACCAAACATGGATTCCATTCAACTTAAATATGTATGTTTACATTTAATATTTTCAGCCGATTTGACACAAAAGTTGATGATGAATTGTTTGTGGTGGACCTAAAAGGTGATGGAGTTGAGGAAAAACCTGATATCAAGCCTCTGTCTGCTAAGCAAAGAAAACGAGCTGCACTTGAAGAAACACCAAGATGTTTTCAAATTTTGCTGCCTTCTTCCAAGGTAAAAAAGCATATTATTTACCAATTTGAAGTATTCTCCTTAGTTAAAAATCAAAAAGAGTAATTATACTTAACAAATCAAATTAGGCTCTTAAATCTTATTTGTGTCAATATTTTATTTCATATACCAAGGACTATGTAGTATATTAAAGTTAAAAAAATATAATAACTGAAATTTAGTTTTAGTAATCTATTTTTTTAGTTTTAGCTCAAATAAATGATTGCATATCTATGAATACTGCTTGGGATTAAATTAAAATTAAAAATAAAACCGATTGTTTTCTCTAGGTAGAGGATCCCAATAAAAAACGTAACATTTCAAAACCTGTTGGTTCAAGACCAACTGCCTTATCAAAACTTACTGCAAAGAGGAAGTCTGAAAAGGGTGTTCTTCAAAAGAAAATTGAGGGGGCAAGAAAAAATAGGAAAATTGCAAGACAGGAAAAGAAAAAGTCCAAAGCTGTTTTAAAAAATTTTGATAAAAACCTATGGGGAGGAAGTTGTAAGTATATAATTGTTATTAGTGTTTAATCAATGTTACCTATAAGCTTAGTGTTAAAAATACCACATCAATTATTATTTTTTTTACCAAAAGATGTTACGGTGATAACAAATTATTTTGTTATAATATAATAATTAAACATTTCTTTTCAGTACCAGAAGTTAAGGGAATTCCTGAAACACTCTGTGATGACTTTATCTCTCCGGAAGCTCAATTGCATAATGTTCCTACAACTCAACGATTGCGTCCAAAACCACCTCTCCCCAAGACTTTGGTGACCCGAGCAGCTGTAGAAACTCCACACCCTGGTGTCAGTTACAATCCATCATTCCAGGTGTGTATATGTCATTATAGTTTGAAACTAAAAATGATCAAACACATTTGAAAAATTAAAACCAAAAACTAGGTTCAGGAGAAATTTTCTGCATTTAAAATAAATTTCTTTTACATTTGTTGCTTTTACACCAATATTTATGATTACATTCTTTGTGAATATTTTATAGGAGCACCAAGAGTTATTGCAAGATGTTGTGAAGCACGAGGAGAAGATGATGAAAAAGGAGGCTCATATTAACAGAGTCACTTCTAAGCTATTCAGAAGGGTTACAACCAAGTCAAAGGAGGTAAAATTTAAATATTGTTCTATTACGAGATTTATATTATCAATTATAAGTACAATTCTTTATAATGATGATATAAAGAGTTGTGTGTCTTAATCCTATGGACCAATTAAGTTTTGTCTGTGGCAGTGGTTTTGTTTACTGATTAAATATTATTAATTCCTTATCTTCTCTTTAAAATACTAATTTTACAGAACCAATGGATAGAGGAAATGAGCGAAGGTCTACCAACTCCGCACAACCCACAAATAGAAGAACATTCCGACGATACCGATAACGAGTATCGCGCTATAAATCCACCCGTGCAAAACAAAAAGAAGGACCACAAGGCGCGCAGAAGACAGAAGGAGATGATACTGGAAAAAGAGAGACTTAAACGTGAAAAGATAGACAAGAAGAAGATCACTGATATTTACAAGTTTGTCTGTTTATTAATATATGTACATTTTTCAGAATTTATAAATCTAATATATAAAATTCTCCTGTCACAATGTTAGTTACCGTACATACGTATAACAGTGGAAAACTGACTTTGGTGGAAACTATAGAACCTAATAGAAAAGGCGGGGTCTTTAAATATATAATTTTAGCAATTTATCACTACTTTAATTTAACAGGAGTAGGTAATTTTTAATACTTCTAAATTTATTTACATATTCTCAGACTTCGGAAATTACACACGTCGATAACAAAAGAGGAGAAGAAACTTGAAGAAGATCGTAAGAAGCGCGAAAGTAAGAAGCAAGAGGAAGAAGAGAAGGCTCTACCTGCTCTCAATTCAAATAAGCCTCCCGCAAAGGAACCGGACTTTGTGCCGCCGGAGGACCTTTCGGGGGATTTAAGAAGACTATCTACCAAAAGTGAGTAGTTTTATATTAAATAATTTAAATAATCTTTAACTTCAGAAAAAGGAGTATCTCGATTCATCTATATGCTTTTTTACGTTTGTTTGTTCGCGCATAACTTCGTTTATGAACCTTTCATGGAAAAAGATTTTTCCAGGTTAGACCAGGTAAGGAAATCAGGCTGTGATAATCACAGACCAGAAAGATAAGAGGAACTTGTGTTTAATTTATATTAAAAATTATGTCCAGCTCTCTGAAATTATAAATTAATAATCAACCATCAATGACCTTAGGTACAACGGAGCATGCCTTTGTATACATGGCTCTAAACATTAAGGAATGACGTTAATCGATGACATCAGTTCCACGTGCGGCTTGCACATGTCACTTGCGCACAGTATCTCTGTTTTGTTTTATTGTAGACTACCCACTCCATCAAGTATATCTTTAAAAAAGTTTTGTAGTAAATCTCGTAATCGTTTACAGCAAACCTCCTTCGCGAACGATTCGAGTCTCTTCAGCGCCGGGGCGCCCTCGCTGGTTCAAAGGTCATGATGAAGAAGAAACGGAAGGTCAAGAGTTACTTCAAAGCTGGTCACAAGGTCACCGACAACGAAGTTGACAAGTATTTAGAAAAAATTAAAAAGAGTAAAAGTAAGGTTTCCAAGTGAGTCCTTAATGGAAGTGAAATAAATATTTGAAATCATAAGACTTTTTATTATTTTTACTACTACCAAGTTAGTCTCTAGTGCCACTCCTTGTTAATGCCCGGTGTATATAAAATTTGTGTACGATAATTATGGTCACTTTGATAAGAAAACTTACCAATTCATTAATTTAGTAAAGTAAAGTCATAGCAAAGTTTTATAAAAATGTTTATTACAAAATAGGCTTACATAACATTAAAATTAATTCTATTATACAGTTGGCAGTGTAGGATACATGTAAAATGTAGGTAACTCGGAATCATATCTTACATACTATACGGCAAGTCGATAACAACAATAAATTAAGGTTAGGCTAACCTAAAGCTTAACGCTAAACTTAAATCCTATGAAACTTAACAGTATCTACAAATGAATCACATTTACAAATAATTAGGATCGAGAAGTGTTTAGACCAAGTGAAACCCTAATTAGATTTAACCTATACTAACCCCATTTGGCTGCTATTGTGTACAGAGATCTTAATAACTCAATAGCCCTTGTATCTGATTCAACCTTCTCTGGGGCGGCTATTCTCGCTTCAGCGAAAGGTCTGTTCGCTAGCGTTGTCGTCGTTTCTTCTGTTGTCTTAGCTTGAAACTTTCTAGCTCCTCGTCTGCTTGGAAATGTCGTTCTTATTACATTAGCCGTCGTACTCTCAGCTTCGGTCTGCGTTTCCGTTGTCGTAGGATTAAAGAATGAGTTTACTGCTTTCACATCTGCGTTTAAAGATTTGCCGCCTCTTTGAACGGGTATTCTGTCCATTCTTCGCTTGAATTGTGTTGCTTGTATGTAATCTATGTCAGGAGTACTGGTCCCGGCTTCTTCCTTTGCTATATCTTCCATGTCTTTCTGAGATACTGCCATTAGAGCTTCTAGTAGTGCCTTCTTAGACGCCTCAGCCGTCGAGTTGTGGTCGTCGTCACACGTTTGTACTAATAGAAGGATCAGTCTCTTGACGGTCTTGGATTTGGTCTTCTTCATGACATTCATTAGTTTTTGCGTCGTCGTTGAGTTCATTCCGCCCATTATCTCCTTCGCCTTTTCGACGACGACGTCGGCAATAGTCGTTAAATCTTGAGATACTTCTGTTGACGTCGCTTGCTTTAGTGACTTTCCATCACGATTATTAGTCAAAAAGTTGTTAGGTGTTGTTATTTCAAAGTTCACAGTAGATGACGGGAATTGTTCAGTTGTTGTAAAGTATGTTGTCGGTGTAGCGGTACTAGTTGTGCTGTCGATCGTTTGTTGTGATAATTTTGATAAGCTTTGGTCAGCAGCTAAAGGACTTAGACCGTCATTTAATGTTATTGGGTCGATTATGGTGCTCTTCCAACTATCAAAACTAGTCGGCCATTGGAACTCGTAAGTTGTCTTTTCAGCATCAGGTGATGTAAAAACACTAGTCGGTATCGGTGACGTTGTGGTGTACTCATCTGTTTGCTCTTTCACTGTGGTTGTGTACGCGTGTGTTGTGGTTTGTAACGTAGTCGTTTCATTGGGTAAAGTTGGAGCTTCTAAATCAACTGATGGTTTTTTTACGGCATTTTTCTCACTCACATCGAATTGTTTTCCATGGCGGAGGCTGTTACCTTGTGGTGAAATGAATGATTGACTGTGTGCTCTCTGTAACTCCTCCTCATTTTCCAGTTCAACACTGTCTTCTGGGTCCGGGAAATAGGTGGGTTGTGGGAATGTTGTTGTAGTTCGAATCTTTTTGCTTTCAAACGATTGGTGGGAATTGGTAATGGGTTTTAGCGTTGAGTCTATTATATCGTCATCCCATGAAGATGGTTGATTTGTTACTTCTGTGTAGTCACTAAGTCTGTCTGGGGAATTGAACCCGTGACCGTAAGGTTTATCGGAGTTATTTTGAAGTCCGTTATGCTGAGATATCGTAGAAGTATCAGTTGTCGTTGGTTGAAATTTCGGTGATCTAGTAGTAGTGAAATAGAAAGGTATTGTAGGCGAAGATGCCGTAGTGTAGGACGCTGATATTCTTCCGCAACATCTAAACGGATTTCTGGGAGTTGTTGGAACGTATGCAGTTGTAGAGATTGGCGTCGTTATGGATCTGGATGTAGTCGTTGTTTCAAAAGTATAATCAGTTGCAAGTTTCAAAGCCTTTGAGTCTCTAAATGAAATATTGTTTCTTGTTTTTTGATCGTCCGAAAATCCCAATATTTCATCGTCATCCTCATTTATTGTCGTTGTGGGTTCTGTGTTAGTAGAATCTTCCGTAGCTGTTAACATATCTCCGAAGGACGGAGGTGTCGGTCTTATATCGGAAAGCACTTTTCTGAATTGAACCGGGTCCTGGAGGTATGCGGACAGCGCGTGAGTGAATACTTGGGCGAGTTCACGTATTTGAGGTGATGTCGCTAGTGGCATCTGACTCATCTGGAAGGAAAGATCTTCGGCTAACTCGTTGTAAGTTCCATTGGGATCCAATTTGATTTCTTCTAGTAATTCGGCGTCATTCATACCGTGGCCAAAAAGACTGCTGTACTTGTTAATAGTCTGACGACTAAATAAGTCCGGCAAGCCTTCATCAACAGGTTTGATATCTTCTGGGACCGGTGTAGTTACTTCTTCATCTTGAGGTGCTGCTGTTGCGAGGTTATCCATAGCTGTAGCGTAATAGATGGCTAGAGAATGTAGAGTTTTGGGTGTCAGAGACGGTGGTACTATGAGACCTGGTCGAACCGGTTGGTCACCATAATATTTTTCTGTAGTCGGATGGGATTCTTCGGTTGAGCGGACGGGATCAAAATCGATCTTATTCAATACTCTTTGTTTTCGTTCTTGATATGTTGGCTCCGTTGTAGTTAAAGCGTCTGCGATTGTAGAATAAGTTTCAAATCTGTTTGTGGCGGCAGTTATTTTGCGATCTCTTATTGTGTACGGAATTTTTGTCGATGATTCGAATTTTGAGAAATCAGGGGCGGTATCCCACGTATTTAAGTCGCCACTTCTAGCGGTTGCTTCTACAAGTTTTTCGGTCGTTGCGAATACCGTTCTGTTCTTTTCCTTTTCAAGAAAGTTCTTTAATAAGGAGACTCCTGGTCTCGTGTAGGGTTCTCTCTTTTCGTTAAATGAACTTACGTAACTCTTTGTGTATGGGACTAGTGTTTGTCTTTTTGTAGTTGCTTCTTGCGTATATTGCGATGTTTGTTGCGATTTAATATCGTACAAAGTCGTTAGAGAAGGGTTGGATTTAGTTTTAATAGTTTTTGATGGGAGGTTTGGATTGTAAACAGGGTATGGACGTAAATTCTTGTTATTGAAATCTCTTAGGAATTGTCTATTCTGATTTTGAGCAAAAGAAGCAGTCTCAGCGGCTTCTTGCATTTCTTTAATGCTATTGTAATCACCTGCTGGAATATTTGGTCTGCGAGTGGTAGAATCATAGAAAGTTGGCAAAGTACTTTTAGCTGCGCCGTTTCCAAAATTGTTGGATATAAGTTGTACTAGATTTCTCCTCTTATTTTCGAAAGCCGTCGTCGCTTGTGCCCGTTGCGTGGGGTTAATATTGAAGAGTGCTTGGTAGCTTCTAGATGAAGGTTTGGCAGTTGGTATGTTTGCATCACTAAACAGCCTTTGTCTATGCTTCAGCAGTCTCTCTGTGGTACTGGGGACGTTTATTGGCGCTCGTCTTGATTCAGCACGGACATTAGTATCGCTGATCTGTTGCAAATCGGGGTTTTTGCTAAGGCTTTTGGTAATCTTCTGCGATTTCTTCTGCTCGTTGGAGTAGTATTCGACGCTGGACTCGTAGAGGGCAGGGGAGGAAGCGCAGTCCACCTTAAACCACCAGTCACATATCAGGTGCGACTGGCTGAAGATGGTGCCGTTGGGACAGAGGAAAGAGATCTTGCGTGATGTGTCACAGATATGGAAAACCTGAAAGCAAAGATATGTCGCCGTTTAATGTTGTATTGTGTTCTTTATATTAGATTATAATATTATACCGCTTAAAAAGGCAATTTATAATTTGTTTCTCATTTCATTAAATTCATTTGCATCTTAGAATTTCGGAAACTTCTAAAGTAGTCTTAGGAGACTTCTTCTTAGTCGTAGTTATTTTTTATTATATGATAGAAAAGCATGAGACTCACTTAATGGAAGGTTAAATACCCCAGTCATATAACATCTCAACAAGTTGTGCTTTCGACCTATTTTGTCTTTGTATATTCGGAATTCTACAGACTGAAACCGAAACGCGATTTAGCTTTACTGCTTTTTCATATGTGGACAGTGGACGGAATTTCGTTATTTCTACCGCCCGTTTAATGTCCAGATATTCTGACGAAGTCCAACGTGTTTCAGAAAAATATAAATTGTTGAAAGTTGGGACCCGATGGGGATCGAAGCCTCGACCCGTTGATTATTATCTATACATTGCTACCATTAGAAGTCCTAGTTAATATATGGTTATTCGTACAGTTCATCAAAATGGTTATACAAGTATGTACCTGGCAGTCAGTTTCCAGGTCGGCGTAGTATCCTGTAGGTACATTCTTACAGTTGAAGCCCGTGTTAGGGATATTGGGTAGCGCTGGGAAGTCTACGCCTGCCTTGCCGATTATTCCTGGAAGGGAAACAAATTATATTTTACTCTCGAGAACATTTTGACCGGCATATTGTTTTTTATACACAAATACAATTATACTATTTAAGAATAAAGTAGGAATTGATGTATTGTATAGTGAAATCCCGTTTCGCCCGTGGGTCATGAGGCGACTACATTTCTGTGTCCGATTCATTGATCAGTTCTTTTATTGTTTCAACTTTCAAACCCACCCACGACTTATTAGGCTTATGCAATGCTATGTTGCTGTATGTTAATGTATGCTTACCCATTTGGATACACTGAAAAGATACGTAAAATTTATAACTGAACTTTACGTTTAAATAAAATGCTTTGCAGCAGCCGTGGTCACGGGGAGACTGCATCCGAAACGTCGGGCCGAAGTTAAAAATCATTTTCAAATAAGTTTAACTAATATATCGCGTTTTAAACCGTTAAAGTGTTTTATTTAAATGTGTACTACTCGCGTAAACTATAGACAGTATTGAACTTTACGTATATTATAATATTTGTAAAATAAATATCCATATAAAGGTGAAGAGTTTCTTTAGGAACTACTGGGTTGAATTTAGAAATTATTTTTGTGTTATAAGATTTTGTAGGAAAGAATGATTGCCCTTTAAACGATCTAAAAAAACATCCTCGACAAAAAATATCTTTTAGGATTCACTTGCAAGAACGACGGGATGAGACCGACATTGTGGGTAATAGCTGAAATTTAAGAGGAGGTTCCCAAAAACCAATTCGGATGCTCAAAATAACTTTACTACGCAGACGAAGTCGCTGAGAAGTATAAGCGATAAGTAATATTTAAAGTATAAATACCTTGGTGCTCAACAACGTCTAAATCCGGCTGACTATCAGCTGGTATCAGCCGCTTCACCAGAGCTTTGCCTTCAGTGTAGCTTTCGAAGCCAGCCGCGCCCATTGCTTCTGCTAAGGCCTGGATGGATTCAGCGCTCGGAGCTGGTATGTAGAGCCCTTCATTTGTGTCCTGAAATTAAATGATCAAACTTCAATGTTATCGTTTAACAATTGCAGAAATCCAAATTAAGATAAGTTTTCGAATGTGAAAATACTTCACACATCATATATCAACATGATAAAACCAAAATCTTATACATCTGCATCAAAATTAACTTGTTGTTTTAAATATTTGTTAATTTACTTATCATCGCTATGACATTGGTTAGAAAGAAACATTATGTACAATTGACATAAACAATGAAATGTGTAATAAAATTATTTTTCTTTAAAGATTTTATTACTCTAATCTATACACATATACATATACAAATGGGACATAGCATTTAGGTTATACGGCTGATGTATAAAAGGTTTTGTCATAACTGACCTTTCGTCGTTGTGTTCGTGGGTAAGTTCTCGCCGCCTCCGAAGTGTTCAGGCAACCTGAAAGTTTCACAAATAGCGATATAAATACTGTCTGCAGTTTACACTTTAACGGTTGCAAACGCAAAATTTAACTCCCGCCCGACGTTTCGGTTGCTTTAATTTTCTAATAAGTTTAACTAAAACTTATCGCGTTTTAAACCGTTAATGTTTTATTTAAAAGTTGTTAGAGCAAAGGTCATATTTTCAGGATTTATGACTACCAAACTAAGATTTGTCGTGTAAGTATAATGCCAAAAACATTACGTCAATAGTCAACATGCAAGCCAGGCCTCAGGCGAAAATAACTTACAACATAAGTGGGCACGTGGTTCCTCAGAATAGATTTCAAAGTTATTTCTGGCATAAGAAGCGGGAGATACAGACCTGGAGGTGTTATTTTAAATTACCGTAATTTGAAACACGCAGCGCTCACAGTTTGACCTCCGTCGAATTACATGATTTATAACTCACAAAACTTCTTGCAAAAGTATTTCGTACCAACCAAACAAATCACCTTTATCTACTATTATAAAGGTGATTTGTTTGGTTGGTTATACGAGACAATCTAGAACTATCGGTCTATATACAAATAACGTATTCTATCGCATATAATATTATGACGTTAAACGGAAAATATAATTGGTTAAATGGTTACTTACAAAACCAATATAATATAGCAGAAACTTTTTTATGGTAGAGGAAAGCCCAGAAGACTTTTAAAGCTCTTAGAAGTAGTCTAGTAAAGCTCTTATTACTATTGCTCGCTATACAGCTAATCGGAAAAAATAATTCACAATGGATAATCTATTTGACTATTACGAAGCCGGAACTAAGTATCAATGACTATTGTAGTTAAACATACAATTGATACAGCTTAGCAAATGTAAATATGACATAATAGGACTGTTAACGGTAAGCATTGTAGGTGTGCTTTTGTGTTGTGGCAGGTTAAGACTTATTGTGTATGTATGTAGTTTATTTAGCGGTCATTTCAGAGATTTTTTTCATATATGTACATAAAGTATGTATAGTTCGATATCTTCTCCGTTCACAAAGTGTCTTATCCGTTTCGGCCCAGTCATTAGGTCTTGAAAGAGGGACAAACATCTATAAATATTGTTTTCACATCTTTTGACAACCTTCTTCAAGATAAAACGAGCTTGGTGTACTCGAGCAGCGGTCCGCAATAATTGTATGAAAAATCCATATCTGTATCCGCCCAAAATACTATGTAAAATCATTTTCGTCGTGTAGTTTAAAAATGGAAAGATCATCTACATAAGATAATGTATCAAAGGTTTAATTAAAATTTCGAATTGATTTGCACATAGAAGCTGTTTTTTGAAAAAAAAACTTTGGCGCGTAAAATAGTATTGTTATTAGTTGTTCGTCAACTTTGTCATTGGTTTTAAAGTTCAGCGTGTCTAACAACGCTGATAGTATCATTTCTTGATAAAAGTACTATGTAAGCACCAACTTAGCATTAATGGACTTACGTATTAAATGTGCCTCGACTTCGCCTCGGCCCACACGTTGGGCTATCAATGCCTCCCTTGCCTCGTTAAAGCAAGTGACATGATTCTAGGTCTATTGTCTCGTGAAGTACGTTTACAAAACCGTTTAAAAAAAATCTTACGAAATACAAGTGAGGTAACATCCCCTTATAAAGTTGTAAGGAAATGCAAAAGTCGAGATCTTCACACTATTTAAGAACAATAAAACGTATTAGTTATCCAATACAATATTGTGTATAATAATAGCCGTAGATAATATCTTCTATCTTTTGTTTGCTGCTTTATAGTGAATTATATGTATGAACTTTCACTGAGTCGACCAAAATAGTTGTACCTTAAAACCAAAATCGCCGAAAGTATTATAGCTAATTTAGATACTGTCTATAGTTTACGCGAGTAGTACACATTTAAATAAAACACTTTAACGGTTTAAAACGCGATATATTAGTTAAACTTATTTGAAAATGATTTTTAACTTCGGCCCGACGTCTTCCCGTGACCACGGCTGCTGCAAAGCATCCGAAACGTCGGGCCGAAGTTAAAAATCATTTTCAAATAAGTTAAACTATTATATCGCGTTTTAAACCGTTAAAGCGTTTTATTTAAATAGCTAATTTAATTCTTGATGGATGGTGTAGCAATGTCCGGCTAATAATCATCCGACCGTGGGTTCGATCTCCATCGGTTCAACACGTTTCATACAATATGTTACCGTAAACGAAAAAGCCGTTAGTTTAATCGCGTTTTGGTGTCTGTGTTTGATTTTTTTAATATGTCAAAATTTGACAGCGTATATTTTTTAGATGTTATAAGGCTAGGGTATCCTTCCATCGAGTGAACTCAATGCGTTTTTTTTTTATTATTGATCCACTGTTCCACCTGTCCCTCCCAAATTAGAGTGGGTTGTCAGGCTTATTACCGATAAATTAACGATGAGAACTGGGACTGTTGGCTTAGCTTGATTTTCCAAGCCTACTTCCTCTCTCTCGGCAAATAGGAACTAGAAATTCTCTTATAAAAATTCCAAATACCGAAATAATATTTTGCAATTGGGCATTTTAATAAACCACGAACCTCGAGATCGCAGTTAAATAAAACTAGATCCACGACGGAGGTGTAAAACTAGTAATTTACATTATAGTGAGTTAAAAGCCATGCTGTTTTATCTCTCATCCGCTCCTTTCGTCATCGCTGCGATGTGAATTACCGGACATCTTATATTGAAATAAATTTTAACGTAATGTTTTTACGACTTTAGACTGTGTTAATTAATAAGCTTTTGTGCCGATAAGCTTTTTTAAGAACTGCCTATTTCCTAACGACCGCCTCTGTAGCTAAATAAAAATTGAAGAAAGTCTAAAAACCGCAGCGACAAATACTCATAAAATATGCAGCCAAAGTTATTGTTCCTACATCCCGTAATCGTCTGTAGAAAGCTGAACTATTGTTTAATTTTATGTAATGCGCTTGCGTAACACATTGTCCTCATTGACATATCATCGATTACTAGTAATCACGCGCGGTGTTACTTGTGAAACAATTCTTTTATCTTATATACCTCTATACTTTATTGTTATTTTTAACAGCTATTTTATATATTACAATAAATAAAAGGCAGCCAATCGCTAAGCAGCAATCTCTTCCAGGCAACATGAAGTTCAGGAGAAAAGAGATAAGAAAGCCTTATTACGTGGGTAGGTGTAAGAAAAAATAAAAAAAACAATAATAGAGAGTATAATTTAAGAGTTAGAAACGTAAAAATATAAGGCCGTGTTAAAACAACGAAGTAAATGAGCTTTTTTTATATTAGTTGGACGAGAGCTTTCGCTTGGCTAATAAAATAAAAATGCTGTTAAATTTTTCATCAAAAATTATTTAGCCGTTCGTTTTATGTTTGATACACCCAACTAATACATCAAACATTTACATCTTCCATGACACCTTCTGACAGACGGCCAGATGATAAAAACCTAAAAAATGCTTTGAATACATTTTTTTTACAAACATTTTTTTTTAACAAAAATCTTACTTTTAAATAAAACGACGCCGACGTTTCGTTGCCAGCCGTGTTCTCCCCGTGAACACGGCTGCTGCTATGGTCGGGCCGAATTTAAAAATAATTTTCAAATAAGTATAACTAATATATGGCGTTTTAAACCGTTAAAGTGTTTGATTTAAATGTGTACTACTCGCGTAAACTATAGGAAGTATAGAAATGTTGCTTATTTTTAACTACGAAGGTTTTTAAAGGTCGGGCACATAAAATAAGTGGGGGACAGACACAAAACAGACATCTTCTGAAACCTTACAACTAAGTGAAATGTTAAATAAATTACGTGTTAGTAATATATCCTTTAAGACAAGCGTAATGCCATGTTATTATCTCAAAAGGTCAGTCTCAATTACATAATGTAATTTGTTCGCGGTGTCAAAGTATCTATTTTTCTGGACAGATTCATTTATTTTTGTTCTTCCGTTATTTCTGCATTTAATAATTGTTACCTCATGGTGAACTTTTTTCCAGAAACTTTATTTATTAATAAGCGTATTTGTTGATCCTGGTTTCGACTTCCGTCATCAATTTTTTAAATTTTACAAGTCTAATTTGCATAATAATGTGAACGAATAAGCCCGCTAGAGCCAGAGTGGCCTAACTACAATTTTATGACTGTTTTTATAGTCTAAAAATGATAATCTATAAGAACACAGTGACCGAAAATTGTTAACATAATTCTTACACAAATAATAAGACAAATTAGTTTTGGCCTACGTTAATTGCGCATTTCTTTCTCAATATTTAAAATCATGTTTTTTTTTATTATTAGGCCACTCTGCCTGTAGTAGCTTCTTATGTTCAGTTAATAAAATATTAATTTATAAGAAGATATAAGGATTCTTAAAATATATACTTACTAAACATAATAACAACGACGAACATTTTCAAATGCGTTTGTATCATGGTGTCACTGCGCCGCCACCGCATTTTTAATCTGAAAAGACGAGTATTCGTTAATTGACACTGTTTAAAACTATTTTTGTTTATTTCACAGGGGAGTGGGACTCTTAATAGATGGGGGAATATCCAGCCTTCTAACATTTAATTAGCGTTAACCATCAACATCACTATAGCTAAATGGTTAAACGTATTTCCTAGCATCGAGTTAAGCGCGAGAGACCCTGGTTTCGAACCCCGGGGACACCATAGATTGTTTTTGTCGGGCAAGGCACAGCCTCTGTGCAACTATTTCCCTCTTAAGAAGACCGATCAGTGATACGGACACAGAAGCATGTTCGCCCCATAGTCCCAACGGGTATTTTCCTTTATTCATCAACCTTTTTGCGTTGACCATCAAAAATTCAATTTAATCTTCTAATAAACGACTGCTGAGACGCACCAACACTAATATTACACAATAGCTACTAGACTAACGAGACAATACGTTAAAAATTGACAGACAGTAACAGAAACGCGAATTTTCACTTCACAGCTTTTCTATCTGTCAACGAAGTTTCGTGACCCGACACTTGTTTTAATATGTGAGATGTGATAAGCTATAGATAAAGCTTGTGAAACTCATGATATAAGATGAGGTGATAATAAAACATCATCACGAGCATACCATAAACACGTTTTCGTTCATCTAGAATAGAACACGATATTTACGGATTTCTGTGTCTTTTAAAGATAAGGTTTTACTTTTACAATATATACAATAATTATACATACTAGCTAGGATATCGTTGAATTATTGTTTTATTCAATACAAGACGTTGCGGGTAGATTTTTATGTTTACTTAAAAAATAAAAATCTACCCGCAACTTAAATGTAGCAGTTTTTCTAATTTGGTTTTCACTATCTTTTTATCCTCTACATAAGGTTTTTATTAGTAAAATTGGTTTTTATGACTATACCCCGGTGGGTATAATGAGTGCGTAAAGTATGAGCGAGTTTTTGTGAGTCCATCTACCTTGTAACTACCTTCTCTCAAAGAGAGCTAGGGTTTAAGGTTGAAGAAAAGGCTTAGTCCCAAACTAACTCGCCATTCAATGCAATGATGTGCGGTGGAAAAAAGTTCTAATGATTAAAGAAGAATGACAAACATGGTGAAACACGTCAGCCATATAATATTAAAACAAGTTGCCCTTTTACCTAGGGATAGTCTGTGCTTTTCTGAATACCAAAAAGCAAAAGCACAGACTGCAACCGAAACGCAATTAAATTTGACGGCTTTTTCATCTGTGGGCGGTGGTTGTGACCCTGGACAGAATTTCGATTTGGTATATCGAACTAACTAATATAAATCCCAGACGATGTTTAACATGTTTAAAAAATATTAATTGATTAGAAAAAATGTTGGACCCGGTGGGGATCGACCCATCGACCCGTTGATTATCAACCATATTGCTTACCAACAAACCAATAATAACTGGAGTTTAAATTTATTTTTATGTTCGTTTTTTTAAATAAAATGTCTTAAACGTTAACGTAACCTATGCTAAAACTATCAAATACAAAATAACTACTTGAACTATTGAATTTTATAGCAGAGGATGCAACTTGCAATGACCATAAAAATATTTACATAACAGCGAAAGCTCCTAGATTCCGAATGATCAATTTAATGTCAAAGATCAATCTCCTGCGACGCGTAAGCGGGTATTATATCTGCGGCTACTGGATAATTTCATGCAAATTGTTGCTCGCTCTGACTGCCGTTTGGCAAGTGGTAAACACCGGCTTTCTGAACCAGGAAGGATGGTTCTTCTCCTTATATCTTAAATAAGTTACTACATGGTTTCTGCTACACAAATATATATCCAACATTCTCATTGTTACAGAATCTACAGCAATTGTTTGATTTCGAATTTGTGAAAGGAAAGCTGATGCATAAATGTTGTGTAGTGTAATTCTGAAATTTAAATTGGGTTACGGTAATCTAGATCACTTCAAATTTTGCGGTTATTTCTTTTAAATATGTATTTGTTATTAACGTTCTTCGCGAATAGCACACTAATTATCGAAAATGCTTGAAATGTATCGAAACCTGTTTTTCTTTCGGTTATTGTAATTAAACTAAACGTAGTATTTGTAACGATGACTCCATGATAGAGCAAAACCAAGGAACGCTAAGGATGCCGGTTTAAGTTCTGTCCTAGACGAAATTTATTTCTATTATTTATTTATTCTTTATTTATGTTTTTAACCTTGAAACCAAAATTTAGAGGTCTTATCTTATTCTGGAAGCCAATACCCACCTTGGTTTACTTCACCAGATTATTTAAATAGTATATAATTCGCGTTTCAACTTGTTTAAAGTGGTTTTATTTATATTCGTTAATTAGCTTTTTGGTTATATACCAATGTTAATGCGAAATATATTTTATTAGATTACAAATAGAGTCGTCTTCCTGGTTGCAAGACAATTGCGCTTTCGCAAGGTGTTTTCGCCGAGTTTCCACGCGTATCTACTTGCTGTGATCGTATCGCCCCAATCGGCAACAGGTCAAACTGATAACATCGATTTTAAGCAATTATTTTAGAGTTTGGCGCAAACATAGTAAAAAATAAAATCTTTCTTAATATAAAAAAAACTGAAGGGTGTTTCTCTGAACGCGCTAATCTAAGGAACTACTGATTCGGATTAAAAAATAATGTTTGTGTTAATTAGACCGTTTATCGAGAAAGGCTTTAAGCTATAAAACATGAGAGTGCCAATAAGAAAACAACAAAGAGAGTGGAAAATGTGGAAAAAAAGGGAAAAATTATTCAACTTTGAGGGTTTCCGTTGCGGGCACTGCGACAATATATCCAAAAAGTATGTAAGTATGAAAGAATTCTTCTCGATAGTATATGTCTAATTCTTTAAGATTAACTCACAAGAACCGTTCTTAAAGTAATCAAATTTGGTCGAAATACTTCATAAGGTAGAAGAACGTTCGCCGGGTCAGCGAGTCAAGTTATAATTTGACACAGAAATTATATTGAAGTCGAATCCACATCATTGTAATTTTATACAAAAAAAGTTTTATCAGTAAATTATATTTCTGTAAGCTACATTGAAGTATTAAGTGTAAGTAGATAATTAGTTCCCCAAGAACTATCAAAGAGAAGTAATATATTTTCTAGGTGAATAGAATAACGACTACCGTCATTTGTTCTAGACATCCACCTATAACGGTTGCAGTGTTTAATTAGTAAACTAATAAATACTTTATTTAAAGCAAGTTCCCACAAAATGAGTATCCACCTAATTGTTTCACGACCAGTTAACAACTCAGTTACGAATCGAAAACGCTCGCGAAATTGTTTCAAATTGCATTACAGAATTGTTCGATGTTTATCTTAATTATATAACAATTCATTGTGCAGCCCGCCTTATTAAGTATTGTTGGGCTAAGTACCAGCCATCACAATATATTGTTTACATAAGAAAGTCACTTTCGATGAATTAAATGTCTATTTTCAGGTTGTAAATATAGAACACAGAAAAGAGGACACTCATTTAAGGCTACTTATAGACATAGTAATTACATATATATAATATACTACATACTAATTACGTACATATATGATACAAGATTAAACAGCGATTATAAAATGATGCATTTTTTTAAATTAAAGCTCCTGTCCCGTGTGACGACGAACCCAACAACGATATATATATATAAGGAAGGAACTGGAAACACGATTGACGATAAAAGGAATGCCGGCGAGTTTCTTGCCAGTTCTTCTTGTTCGTTCTAGGCACTTAATTTGGGAACTGGTAGTAAATGTAAGTTTTATGTGTTTAATTCTTAACTGTATTGATTTACTCTCTTAAAGGTTTTTGAACCCTAGAATGAGAGATTTTTAACAATCTTCCTGATAGATGTAAGGTAATAGGGTTCGGAGAAAAACAAACTTAGTAAATTTAGTAGCGTATAAAATACGTTAAACCCAGTCGTGGTTGTGTCTTATTGTAACCACCGCGACCTCCAGAGGCTGATATAGCGATAGCACTTCCATAGATTCATTAACAAAAGGTCACAGATAAAACGATAACCATTAGAGATGAGAAACAATAACGTAATGTCTGTGTCTTCCAAAGCACTTCCGAAATGTGTTCACTGTCGAAAAATAGATTAATACGTTTTTACCCTTCACCGAATCAAGGTCATGTCTGCTTCATTGTTATAATATGAAAACATCCCGAATAAATTACATGCAGTTTGTAAATTAGTATAAAGGAGCTGTTTAAATATTGTATTGTCTTTTAGAGCAATAATGTTTCTATTAATAATTAATCGTCCAAACGATTAAATATGCCTCGAATTTCAAAACACTGTTTCATTCATTTTGCAAAATTCCCGCTGGATGAAGTTCGATGAAGAAAAATTTCAACATACCTACCACTATAAAGACATTGAGTGGAATTATTTTTGTATTTTTAACTATAATTAATACTAATATTTGAGAAATATCACATAGCGTTTAAAAAGCTTTAACGATACTTCCGATAATGTACCTAATAGTTTAAAAATGTTTATTTAATTTAGACACTTGTTAAGTGTTTCCTTAGCTCAATACTAAGGACGCAACAAATAAATCTATCGCTAAATGGACAGATGAAAGCTGCAGAGGTCACGAAACAGCTTTTACTTGAACTTTCCCTAAAGCTAGATGCGTTGGCTTTGATACAAAGCGTCCTTTCTCACCGTTTATATATATAGTTCCGGGACTATATTCGCGCACATTCGTACACATGATTATATTCGTAGATATATTATTCCACATTATTGTAAAATAATAATAATGACTAAACACGACTACGAAAAAAAAACGAAGTTGAGTCTACAGGATAAAGATTCATTTAACTAGCTTACGCTCATTGTATTTTTAAAAAGTATTTAATCATATTGCGAATTAAATGCTGTCTGTAGTTTACGCGAGTTGATGCAAAGCATCCAAAACGTCGGGCCGTAGTTAAAATAAATTTTTAATA